TCAACTCTTCTTTTAACTATCTCCCCCTACCCTTCCCATGAACCTCCCAATCATCCTGAACCTCGGGCTCTCCATACAATGCCAAGAGGCTTGTCTGACCACTACTTGACCAATTCTAACCCCAAACACACCCCATTTCTCACCAACCTCGATTTTTGGACACAGTGTGAGGAGTTAGAGGTGACAGAAGGGGCTGAGATGAGGAGCCAGATGATACCAGGCTGTGCTCTTTCTGGAGCACAAGACGACCTTAGTTGATCCTGGCACCATGCTTCGCACCCCCTAAGCACCACTTGGAGAGAATTCAGAGCCCAGAGCCAGAGCCAGAGGTGCCCCCAAGCACCGCCAGGGAGGCCCAATAACCAAAAAGATCTCTCTTCAGGGGGCAGAACAATAGTATGGCATGGAGGACACTTACCTTGCACCTGGCTAACCCAGGTTTGATATCTGGCAGCCTCTAGGGTCCCCAGAGCACAGCCAGAGGTGATCCCTGAGCACAGAGCCAGGAGTAGTCCCTGAGTACCTCCCCCACAATAGAGTGATGATCATTTAAAAAGAAAGAGGGGGCCAAAGAGATAGGACAGTAGGTAAGGCCCTTGCCTTGCCTGTGGTTGACCTGGTTTTATCTCCAGCATCTCATAAGGGACTGAGATCTCCAAGCCTGCACGGTTTGGGACTGGACCTGTCAGTAGCTAGACAGTTACACCCTCCAACTGCCGTGTAACCCCAACAACGGCCAGGATCCAGAGATTATCACAACAAGCTCCCGGGAGAGCACAAGGCAGAGTCTCCTACCCTGTGTCTGACTATCCTCGCCAGGGCCCAACAGCTGAAGACCTCCAGGCCCCAACCAAGGCCTTACTGGGGCCACTCTCCACACACTTGGATAAGCCTCAGACATAACAGAACTGGCAGAGGAACCCAGGTGTGTGGGACCCGGGGCTGAGATCTCCAAGCCTGCACGGTTTGGGACTGGACCTGTCAGTAGCTAGACAGTTACACCCTGCAACTGCCGTGTAACCCCAACAATGGCCAGGATCCAGAGATTATCACAACAAGCTCCCGGGAGTGCGCGGCCGCATTTGTGGCCGTGCAACTATTTATTTACTTTTCTCTAAGTTTTCAGGGTACCTTAAATATCCTTAAATATCCAACCCGCACGGCAGAGCCTGGCAAGCTATCCGTAGTCTATGCCAAATAGACCAAATTGATATGCCAAATCCAGTAATAAATGGATCTCATTTCCCTAACCCTGAATATGCAGAGTCGAGAAGGATATGGAAGGAGAGGCTGATAAAACACCAAGGCAGACATAGGCTACCAAAACGCAGAAAAACAAAAATGATTGTCTGTACTTTTAATGCTCGTACGCTGGCATCTGCTGCATCCATTGAAGACCTTATGGTACAAGCACGAAAGATCAAGTACGACATCATTGGTCTGACCAAAACGAGAAGACATCAATCCCATCATGCTGTTTTCGACACTGGAGAAGAACTGTTCCTTGGAACATGTGATAAAAGAGGCGTCGGTGGTGTCGGTATCCTTGTAAACACAAACTTAGTCACGAGCATTGATTCATTTGAATGCCTAACAACCCAAATCGGACGATTACACTTGAATAAATGTGGCTCACTACCGGCAGTTTCTATCTTTGTTGTCTATGCACCAACATCCAGTTATGGTGAAAGAGAAACTGAGAAATTCTATGGAGCTGGAGAAGTTCTATAAAGAAGATCACACCTTCTACAAGATCATTGTCGGTGATTTTAATGCCAAGATAGGACCAAGAAGATCAGTCGATGAACTCCACATCGGAACCCATGGCCTGGAATGGAACGAACAGGGTGACAGACCGTCTGAGTTCATCATGTCAACCAAAACCTTCCATGGTAACTCACAATTCCAAAAGGCTGAATCTAAACGTTGGACATGGGAGTCTCCCGATGGACGGTTCCACAATGAAATAGACCACATCATATTCAATCGGCGGTTTTGCCTAACAGATGTTGCTGTTGTCCCAAAATTCCAAACGGGATCAGACCACCGTCTTCTTCGTGCAAAATTCTACCTCACAGAAAGAGGAGAAAAGAATGCAAGGTTTAAGAAGAGGACTCCCAGAACAACCACCAACTGGGAACTCTTTGGCTCTATTGCGGCAACATGGGAAGATGCCGTCATTGACAACATTGATGAGGAATACAATTGAATGATTCAGCACCTCCATGATTGTGCAAGGAATGCCAAGAGAGAGATAACCACAAAAAACCGTCTTTCTTCGAACACTCTTGAACTTATTCGCCAACGTGGCTTGGCACGTGCCTCAGGCAACCACAAGCGAACGTCCGAACTGGCAAAACAGTGCAGAGAAGCCATCAAGGATGACCTCAAAAACAGGAGAGCAGCAGTACTGGTAGATGCAGCAGAAGCTGGGAAAAACATTCGTAATGCCTGCCTGTCCTTCACCAACTACAAAACCAAGATGACTGCCCTCCGACATCATGATGGATCTATCACATCTTCCAGAAGGGCAATGGAGAAGATTATTCATGACTTCTACTCAGATCTCTTTAATAGCCACATCCACTTGCCCACATACCACATACCACATGATGGATATGTCGTTCCCAATGTTCTCCCTTCCGAAATCCAACATGCCATCTCGTCGGTAAAGAAACAAAGAGCACCTGGCCCAGACAAGATCAGACCTGAACACCTGAAGAACTTACCTTCAGTACTCATCAATACATTGGCTCGACTCTTCACACGCTACCTGTCTGAATGCAAGGTTCCATCCCAATGGAAAACCAGCAGGACTGTACTACTATACAAGAAAGGAGACATCCACGACATTGGCAACTATCGCCCAATCTGCCTATTGTCTATCATCTACAAACTATTCACTCGAGTCATCCTGAATAGGATTAGCAGAACACTAGATGAAGGACAACCATGTGAACAAGCTGGATTCCGAAAAGGATTCAGTACCATCGACCATATCCACACAATAACCAAGCTCATTGAGGTATCTCGGGAGTTCAAGATGCCGCTCTGTCTAACGTTCATTGATTTAAAGAAGGCCTTTGATTCTGTTAAGACGGAAGCGGTCATGGAAGCCCTAGCCTATCAGGGCGTACAAACTCAATACATCAGGATCCTTCGTGAGCTCTATTGCGGATTCACTACCAAGATCTCACCATTCTACAAAGAAGTAATCATCCATATCAAGAGAGGGGTTCGGCAGGGTGATACCATTTCACCAAAACTCTTCAGTGCCACCCTCGAGAACATCATGCGACGACTGGAATGGGAAAACATGGGAGTGAAGATAGATGGTCGGCAACTACACCACCTCCGCTTTGCTGATGACATCGTTCTAATAACACCAAACATCAACCAAGCGGCACAAATGCTGAACGACTTTGACCGTGAATGTGGAAAGGTCGGACTACAGCTGAATCTTACGAAGACAATGTTTATGAGAAACAGCCTTGTTCCTGATGCTCCATTCGCTCTCAACGGAACCACCATCTCCGAATGCAACAGTTATATATACCTAGGTCGAGAAATCAACATGATGAATGACCTGGCACCTGAGTTGCGCAGGAGGAAGAGAGCGGCTTGGAATGCCTTCAAGAGCATTGAAGAAATAACTAAGAGGACAAAGAACCTCCAGCTACGAGCACATCTCTTTGATTCCACTATTCTTCCTGCATTAACATATGCCTCAGAGACCTGGACCCTACGAAAACAGGATGAGAACGCTATTCGGGTCTCTCAAAGAAGAATCGAAAGAACTATGCTTGGAATATCACGATTCACTCAAATGAGAGATAGAATCCGGAGTTCTGATCTGCGTCAACGCTCAAGAATCAGGGACACTGTCTCATTTGCCAAGACATCAAAAATCAGATGGGCTGGACACGTAATGAGGTTTACAGACAATCGCTGGACTAGAGCCATTACTGATTGGATTCCACGAGACATCAAAAGATCACGTGGACGCCCACCTATAAGATGGTCAAACTTCTTCGTCAAGACCCTAAATGATCGGTTTGAGGCTCTACATGTTCCTAAAACGAACAGATACCATTGGGCTACGCTAGCACGCAACCGGGATGAATGGAGACATTACTGGCACCCGCTCGAATAAATTGATGAATAACGGGGATTAAGTGATTAAGTGATTAAGTGATAAGTGATCTCATAAGGGCCCCTCAGCCCACCAGAAGTGATTCTTAAATGCAGAGACAATAACAACTCCAAACACCACCAGGTGGCTCCAAAAACCAAAAATTAATTAATCAATTAAAAAGCAAGGAAGAGGGGCTGGAGTGATAGAACAGTGGGTAGGGCATTTGCCTTGCATACGGCCGACCTGGGTTCAATTCCCAGCATCCCATATGGTCCCCTGAGCACCACCAGGAGTAATTCCTGAGTGCAAAGCCAGGAGTAACCCCTGTGCATCACTGGAAGTGACCCCCCCCCAAAAAAAAGCAAGGAAGAGGGGCCAGAGTAATCATATAATGGGTAAGGCACTTGCCTTGCACGTGGGTTCCATCTTCACCATCCCATATGCTCCCCCTCAGTCCACCAGGAGTGATTCCTAAGTGCAAAGCCAGGAATAACCCCTGTGCATCACCGGAAGTGACCCCCCCCAAAAAAAAAGCAAGGAAGAGGGGCCAGAGTAATCATATAACGGGTAAGGCACTTGCCTTGCACGTGGGTTCCATCTTCACCATCCCATATGCTCCCCCTCAGTCCACCAGGAGTGATTCCTAAGTGCAAAGCCAGGAACACCACAAAACCAAAACAAAATAGGAAGGAAGAAAGTGAGTGACTTAAAGGACAAGGAATAACTGGCCAAAAGGCTCTGGGAACATTTTATTCTGAACAGCTGCTTCCTCTGTGGCCCCTGGCCTCAGGGGCAGGAACCCACAAGCAGACACCCAAGGTCCCAACAATAATTCTGGGGTAAGGGGCCAAGGGGGCCACAAGCCTCAGTCATCAGGTTCCTCATCCTCTTCATCTTCCTCATCCTCCTCCTCTTCCTCTGCTGCAGCTAAGGCCTGTTCCTGTGCAGCCCTAAGAGCCTGCTCTTCCTCCACCGTGGGATCACTCATCTCCAGGGTGTCGGCGCCGGTGGGGTACTCCTGCTGAATGGGCGGCGGCAGCAGCGGGTTGAAGTTTTCAGGACTGTACTTGTGGCCCCAGCCAATGTAAATGTTCTCAAACTTCCTGCAAGAGGCAGGAAATATCGGAAAACCCAGCCGTGGTGGGAACCAGAGGGGTCTACAAAGTTGGGGTGGGGAGAGTGTGCCCCCCATTTCTCCGTTCAGTTATTCAACCAAGTACCAGGCAGTGTGGACAATTCTGATTAGCTACTGAGCACTTGCAACACAGTGAATGTGACCCCAAACTTGCAGAAATTGGGGGATTACTCCTGTCTTGGTGCTCACCAGGGATTCCTGGTGGTGCTTCTGGAACCATATGCCACTCCAGAGATGGAACTAGAGCCAGCCACATGTGAAGCCGGTATTTGGAGCCCTGTATCATTTCCCCAGATCCCCAGAATACAGGGAGCTCGTAAGCTTGTCTGCTTGCTTTGGCGTGGCTTCTTCTCTTCTCTATCCTTGCAGGTAGGGGTGTGTGTGTGGTGGTGGGGGGAGTGGGTGTCCCGGTAAGGTGTGTTAAGGGGAAAACAGAGACTAAAATCTGAACCAGATCCATGTCCCTCACAGAAAGAGCCCATCTTGGGGGTCTGAGAAACCACTGAGATGCAAAATTTCAGGCCCAGTGGGAAAGGCCCCGCCCCTGAAACAAAGTCCTGAAAAGAATATCGAAAGAAGATCAGCAACTGCCCCCAAATTTCCCCTTGACACCTTAGTAAGGAACTGGTGGCAGAGAGGAGTTTGGAGAAAGTGCATGTGAACTAGGACAGAGGAAACATATGCTGCCGGCACACATGTCACTGGTGCCCCCACATGCAGTACCCTTCCACATGCCCCCACAAAACTATCCCTTTGCAGCTTGTACTTTCTTACTTGAATGTGGGTCTGTGGACTAGCTCTCTCCTTTCTGGAGAAGTCCATGTTCTCTCCTGAGCTCAACTCTTAACTCATCTCCCTCCCGTCTCTGTTTATTTCACAATAAATGTCATAGACACTTCAATGTCTCCTCCTAAAATCCCTGCTGGAAGGGAAAGATGAATCCAGTAGGAACAACATCTCTTTCCTGCAAACAGCAATACCTGGCTCAAGCCTGAGTCCACAGCTCCCTGAAAAACGTGAGAAGCAGGAATAGCCTCCCGTGCTGGGCAGTACAGGTGGACATAGGCACAGCTTGACTGCTGCCTTGTGGGGCTGTTAGGACATAAGCGTCCATGCCCACCCTGTTGGGGCTCACAGTAGACTTTACTAGGCCTAAATCTCCCAGGCGCTTCCCCGTGACAGAGGTGGGAGAGAAAAGGAATAGATTCCCTTCTTACTCTCTGCTCCATTGCAAAAGTCACCCCAGGGGGGCTGGAGCGATAGCACAGGGGGTAGGGCATTTGCCTTGCATGCAGCCGGCCCGGGTTCAATTCCCAACATCCCATATGGTCCCCTGAGCACTGCCAGGGGTAATTCCTGCACTCAGAGCCAGGAGTAATCCCTGTGCATTGCTAGATGTGACCCAAAAAGCAAAAAAGTCACCCAAGAGCCAGCAACTCTGGACCTAAGGGTCTAGAGCTCTGCACACAACTGCCACATTCAAATCTTTTGCAATGTGAATAATGGTTGAATGGTAGAAGAGATGAAGGATGAGGTGGTGGGGGTGGCTAGAGGGGTGGGGGAGGGGAGAAGATGGAAGGGGCCCCCCAAAATTGTACTTCTTGCATTTTTTTGTTTGGGGGCCACACCCAATAGCGGTGGTCCAAGCTAACTCCTGGCTCTGAGCTCAAGGATCACTCCTGGCAAAGCTAGGGGGACCCTATGGGGAGCTGGAGATTAAACTTGATTTGGTCATGGGCACTGTAAGTGCTATTGTATCTGCCTGCTGTAATATCTCTCTGGCCTCCCAAGGTTTTATTTATTTTGCTTTCAGAGGGATGCTGGCAAATTAGGGGGTGGCCTGTGCAAGGGGGTGAGTTGAAAAAAACAAGGATGTTTCCCTTCAGCTATTGGGGGAGCAAAAAAATAAGAAGTTAAATGCCAAAAAGGTGGCTAAATTATCTAGATGACATGAATTCCCCCTGCCACGCCACCGTGAAAGACAGTAGCAGACAACATAGGGCCGTTGTCAACGAATTGAATTAAAAAAAAAAAAATCAAACTATCAAAGCACAATGCTGCCATCTGGTGGACAGAACTGGTAAATGAGGCCGTGCCTGAACAAGGCAACACACAGCGCCCTCTGGTGGCTAAGCGGCTTCAAGGGTGGGATGCTGGAGTGACATCTGGCTGCCAAATCTTTTTGTTTGGACCACACACGGAGGTGCTCTGGGGCTACTGCCAACTCTGTGCTTACAAATCCAGCCTCCCATATGCAACGCCCGGGCCCAGACCTCTCCCGCGCAATCTTTCAGGAGTGACTGGTGGGGAAGATTCTGCCTCAGAATGTTCAAATCAGAAGACCCGGAGCGGGAGGGGGGTGGGTAGGGGGGGGCTGGAGCGTAGCACAGCGGGTACGATGTTTGTCTTGCACGTGGCCGACCAGGGTTCAATTCCCAGCATCTCATATGGTCCCCTGAACACTGCCGGGAGTAATTCCTGAGTGCAGAGCCAGGAGTAACCCCTGAGCATCACTGGGTATAACCGAAAAAAAAAAACAAAACACTGTCCTCCTGTTGTTCATCAGTTTACTCGAGCGGGCCCAGTAACGTCTCCATCGTGAGACTTCTTGTTACTGTGTTTGGCATATTGAATACTCTCAGTAGCTTGCCAGGCTCTCCAAGAGGGGCGGAGGAATTGAACCTGGCTCGGCTGGGGCTGGCTGTGCACAAGGCAAATGCCCTACTGCTGTGCTATCGCTCCAGTCCAACCCCCCCCAAAAAAAAGAAGACCTGGGGGGAGGCATCCCTCCCCAAAACAAGTCTATCCCTGTCAGAGTTGGCCCCAAAGGGATGACCAGCTGCCTGAGCTATACAGACGAAATGCCTGGGCTAGGGGTCAGAGCCAGGGCCAGATCCTACGCAAGCTGTGTAACCTGGGCCAGTTCCTTAACCTCTCTGATTGTCCCCTCACACTGTTGCCTCCCACTTTGGGTCTTCTGGATGCTGAGTTTTCCATCTGGGAGAGAAAGTTCAAGGCATCCATCAACAGGGAGGGCCCAGGAAGAGACCTACTTGCCGATGGCGTAGGCATAGGCTCCTGGCCAGAGGTTGGAGCGCACGACAGCCAAGGAGTACTGGGGACAGAGGTTGCAGGACAGCCGGGCGGTCCAGGGTGACATGTGCATGATTTCTGTAGGGAAACCAGGGGGACCAGGGCAGTGAGAGGCCCAGCCCAACAGCGGGGAGGAGAGCAAAGGAGGCGGGAAACAAAGGCAGGGCAGGAAGAAAATGAGGGAGATTTAGCCTGGACTTGGAGCCCCACTGCTGAACCCTGGGGCTTGGGACTGCACCCTCACTGTGTGACCCTAGAGGATCGCCTCACATGATCTCAGTGACCACACCCAGGATGTGGGGGTCCCCTCGCAGGACGGCAGGGAGCCCTGGGAGCCCTCCAGCGTGGAGAGGACAGCTGCTGAGATTCTCCTGCCACAACAGCATCGGCCTGGACCAAGGAGAGAGGGCTGGCACATGCCTACTCTCTTCCTTTCTTCCAGTAGGCCAGACCCAACTTTCAGGAAAGGATGGGTGCTGCTTGTGGTTTTGAATGCCTCTGAAGGTGCAGAGACAAGGGTTCACCCTGCCTCCTGCAAACAAAGCCTGAGCTTAGCCCTTAGCCCACATCCTCAGTACTCTAGTTCTCCAGTTCAAGTCTTCCCAATGTCCTTCTGCACCCTAAGTCCATTTGGAACTCAGATGCCCATCCCCCCACCCCACCTCTTGGTTCCCTGGGGCTCAAGAGGAGGAGTTTCTCCATAGCCGCTGGGGGGAGGCCCGAGGAGTACCCATGGGGTGCACTGGTGCTGTGGGAGGTACCCCACAGTCTAGCTGCCCCTCCCTGGCCCCCAGCCCCCCCTACGAGGCTGGCAATGTGAAGCGGGGGCATTACCAGCGTCCTCCGAGAGCGGGGTCAGCAGTGGGGGTCCCACCTCCTGCTCCACCTCCTCCAGGGCCTCATCCGCCTTCTCCTCCTCCTCCCCCAGCTCTTCCTCCTCCTCCGTCTTCTGCAAAGGGTTCACCCAGGAGCAGCGGCCCTGATGGGGGATGAGTCAGTCGTCATCCCCTGAGGGAAACAGCATCCTGCCCCCCACTCCAAGCCAAGGGGCAGGGGAGGACCACAACTGGATGGATGCTCAGGGGCCTAAAGCTGCCCCCTGCTGGCTGAGGGCTCTCCTGCACCATCTCCTTTGTGTGTGTGTGTGTGTGTGTGTGTGTGTGTGTGTGTGTGTCTTTTTGGGTCACACTTGGTGACGCACAAGGGTTGCTCCCGGCTCTGCACTCAGGAATTACTCCTGGCAGTGCTCAGGGGACCATATGGGATGCTGGGAATCGAACCCGGGTCAGCCACATGCAAGGCAAACGCCCTACCCGCTGTGCTATCCCTCCAGCCCCCATCTCCTTTGTTTTTATGGGTTTTTTTGGGGGGGTCACGCCATGCGATGCTCAGGGGTCACTCCTGGCTCTGCACACAGGAATCACTTCTGGTGATGCTCAGGGAACCCTATGGAATGCCAGGGATCGAACCCAGGTCTGCCACGTGCAAGGCAAACGCCCTCCCCACTATACTATACTGCTCCCATACTGCTCCCAGGTACATTTTCTCCAATAGGTGCCCAGAATCAGCCCTTCCCAGGAGCCCCGCGCGAGGGGTGCTTGCCCGGCGACCTCCTCCTCACCCTAACCAGCCTCACCTGCGGCAGAATGTGCTGTGCGTGGTGGACCCAGTTGGCCATGGAGTCCACCATCTCCAGGACAGGGATGCCCTCGAAGTCGGGGTTCTCCTCGAACGAGTCGCGGCCGCCGCCGCCCTCCTCCTCCTCGTCGCCCTCCTCCTCGCCGAACTGGTAGAAGCCGAGCGGGCTGATGAGCGTGGCGGCCGAGATGCGGGCGATCTGCGCACGCAGGTAGTTGGCCTCGTTGCCCGGGAAGGGCGGGTAGCTGATGACCGGCGCGTCCAGGTGGCCGGTGAAGAACTTCTTGATCTTGCGCGCCTGCACGATCTGCAGCGGCGTGACGTGGGGCAGCCGCGTCCAGGGCCGGCCCGGCTCGTTGCACACGAAGTACAGGTATTTGTTGGCGCCGCTGCGGCTCTCCTCGCGCGGGACCACCGGCGGCGGCTTCCACGTGGACTTGGGGAGGACGTCGGGGACCTTGTCCTCGTCCTCCTCGCCCTCGTCCTCGTCGTGGCCCTCGGCCACCTCGCCGCCCTCCTGCGTCTCCTCCACCTCCTCCTCCACCTCCTCGTCCTCGCCCTCCCGGAATTCCACCTCGGCCACCAGGTAACTGCGGCGCAGCCCCAGGATCTTGCCCCAGAAGCGGCACGTGTGCACCGGCTGCTGCTCCACCAGCTGCTTCAGCGCGAGGAAGATGCGGAAGTTCTCGTCCGAGCTCAGCCCCACGCCCGCCTGCTCGAAGTAGAAGGCCGTCTCCATGATGTTGGGCACCGCCGTGTCCCCCTGCAGACGCGGGGCGCAGGGCGTCAGGCCTTTCCTCAAGGGGGCTTGCGCCCCACCCCGTGCTGCTCAGAGGGGTTCTGTGCTCACTACTGAGTGACCTCTGGCCAGGCCCGGGGACCAAATGCCATGCCAGGGACCAAACAAGGGTTGGCTGGGGCCGGCTCCAGCCGGGAGGGCGTTTGCCTTGCACACAGTCAATGCGGTTTGATCCCCAAAATCCTATATGGTCCCTGAGCACTGCAAGTAGTGGTTGGTTCTGAGTGCAGAGCCAAGAGTAACCCCTGAGCATCACACACACACACACACACACACACACACACACATACACACAGCCAAAAAACAAACAAACAAAACAGGTTGGCTGTGTGCAAGGCAAATCTTGGTCTTTTTTATTTTTGGTTTTGTTTCTAGGCCACCTCCACGCCCAGCTATGCACAAGGGCTCACTCCTGGCTCTGCACTCAGTGATCACTCCTGGAGGGGCTCCGGGGACCATCTGAGGTACCCAGGATGGAACCCAGGCTAGCCGCATGCAAGGCAAGTGCCCTCCCCACTGCCCTGTACTCTGGGTCCAGTCCCCCCCCCCACTTTCTCTCTCCCTTCCTTTCTTCCTTTCAAACCAGGCTTAGTTGCATGTAAGACAACTTTTTTTTTTCCGGGTGGGGGACTTTTTGGGCCACATCTGGTGATGCTCAGGAGTTATTCCTCCTGGCTTTACACTCAAGAATTACTCCTGGCAGTGCTCAGGGATGGGATGATGCCAGGGATCTAACCCAGGTCAGCCTCATGCAAGGCAAGTGTTCTACTAGCTGTACTATTGCTCCAGCCCAAAGCAATGTTCTTAATTCCTCTACTCTCTCTCCAGCTGTTGGATGAAATCCCTTTTTGGGGGAGGAGCAGGGTTTTGGGCCACATCTGGTGGTGCTTAGAAATCACTCCTGGCAGTGCTCAGAGCAAGATATGTGGTGTTGGGGGTTGTCCGTCCTGCAGGATAAACACCTTACTCCCTGTACCATGTCTCTGGCTCCTGGGTAGAATTTCTGTGTTTTGCTTTGGGGCCACAGCTAGCGGTACTCAGGGTCTATTCCTGGCTCTAAGACTCAGAAATTATTCCTGGTGGGCTCTGAGAACCATATGGAAACCATACGGGGATCACACCTAGTTTAGCTGCGTGCAAGGCAAGTGCCCTATCCGATGTTATCACTTCACAGATAGGATTTCTTGGGATTTTTGATTGTTGGGGGAGGGAGCACACTTGGCAGTGCTCAGGGCTGACTCCAGGCTCCCGGTCAGGAATCATTACTGTTGGGAGACCATATGGGATGCGAGGGGTTGAACACAGGTCGGCTGCATGCAAGGCAAACATCCTCCCCGCTGTACCATTGCTCGGCCCGAGGATGGAATATGAACTGCCCGGCGGGTCAGATCCTGCTTGCTTTTTTTTTTCCCCTCTTTTTGGGTCACACCGGGCGATGCACGAGGGCTGCTCCTGACTCTGCACTCAGGAATTACTCCTGGCAGTGCTCGGGGGACCATATGGGATACTGGGAATCGAACCCAGGTTGGCCGCATGCGAGGCAAACGCTCTACCCACTGTGCTATTGCTCCAGCCTCAGAGCTTGCTTGCTTTTGGATCCTTTGCTCCTTCCCATGGCTTCCCGGGGGCCTCAGCAAGCCCAGTTCCTGTGCCTGGCATCGGAGGCCCTCAGTGACTTCCTCAGGTCCCTCCTCCCAGCACCCACCTCCACACACACACACACACACACACACACTGCTGGGGTCTCCAGCTCCCCTCCGCCCTGCCTTCCCCCACTCACCACCTCCTCCTCCATCTCCTGCTCGCCCTCGCCCTGGCGCAGGAACAGCGCCTTCTGCTTCTCAGCCATCTCGTAGGTGGGCAGCATCTCAGGCTCATCCCGCAGCGTGTCCAGCTTGGGGTGGAACCACTCCGTCCGGGCGGTGTGGTTCAGCCACTCCAGGATGGACAGGGGGTTCTGCGGCCGCTCGTTCAGTATCTTGGTCAGGACGTTCACCAGGTGCTCGTACCTGCCGCCAGCATTTGTGGTGTGAGGGGGGACAGCAGGCGCTCAGCTCAACACGCCTCTGTGGGGGGTGTGAGGTGCTAAGCGGGCCCCAGCGGACAGGGTAGGACAGAGAGCACTTCCTTGGTGGAGGGGTAACATTTTGGGGGCGTTGTTTTGGGGTCACACCCAGCAGTGCTTAGAGGTTACTTCTGGCAGTGCTCAGGGAACTAGATGGGATGATGAGACTCGAACCTGGGTCGGCCATATGTGGAGCAAAAGCTATAGGTGCTGTACAATGGCTCCTGCCTTCAGGGGTAACATTTTTGTTATTTTGGGCCACACTCGGCAGTGCTCCAGGATCACACCTAGCAGGCTCAGTGGACCATACAGGACGTTGGGGATCAAACCTGGGTCAGCCACATCCAAGGCCAGGTCTCCACCTGCTTCATAATCACTCAGGCCCCTGGTGAGGGCAATGTTCTGCTGAGTGGGGGCAGCAAAGCACACAACTGTGGGGATGATCATTTCTTTTGCAATTTGGTTTTTGGGCCACACCTGGAGGTGCTCAGGGCTTACTCCTGGCTCTATGCTCAGGGACCACTCCTGAAGGTACCGGGGGGACCGTATATGTGGGGACTGAGCTTGGGTCAGCTACGTGCAAGGCAAGAGTCTTCCTTGATGTATTCTCTCTGGTCACAATTTTTTTTGGCATCATAGGGTGGGGTATTGGGGGGTTGGGGCCACATTCTGGGGTGCCAGGAGACCCTCCCTGGGGATCAAAACCTGGGTTGGCTTTATGCAAGGACCAGAGTCCTATACTATTTCTCCTTTTTTTTTTGAGGGGGCTGTGGTTTGGGGCCACACTCGGTAGGGTTTGGGGTTTACTCCTGGCTCTGTACTCTGAGATCACTCGGGGCAGGGCTTAAGGGACCCTGGAGAGTGCTGGGGCCGCAATGATCCAGGTTAACCACATGCAAGGTGGTGGTGCTGGGGGGCCATAACAGATGTCGGGGATCAGACCTGAGTCAGCTGAGTGCCAGACAAACACCCTGCCCACTGTACTCTCTCCTCAGCCCCGACATTCAGGATCTGAATAAAGTGAGCAGCAGAGAGAACGATGGGCACACGGGCCTGAGCCAGTGTACGTCTAGCAGAATCTCGGTGCCCAAGAATAACAACTCCATGGGGACCTTAGAAGTATGAGTCTGAAACCCTAAGTGGGCATGTGGAGATGTCTAGAATGGATGAACCCGTGGCTGAACTGGGCTGAAGGGAATGAGGCCAATGAGGAATGGGGAAACATAATTCTTCTTGGTCACATGTTTGTCCAGAGGGTGTGGTTTGGGTCACACCTGGTGGTCAGTCTCATGGGGCTCAGGGTGGGGGGACTATGGAATGCTGGGGTTGAACTCAGGCTGGCCACATGCAGGGCACAAGTGTCTCCACTGTCTGTTCCATCTCTCTGGCCCCATGTTCAAACTTTGGAGTCGGGTGGCACACCCAGGTGCTCAGGGCTTCCTCCCAGCTCTGTGTTCAGGGATCCCTTCTGGTGGGGCTCAGGGGACCCTATGGGGTGCCAGGGATTGAACTTGGGTTGGCCGTGTGCAAGGCAAGGGCCCTCTCAGTTGTATTATGGCCCCAGCCCTGGGATCATTTGTTTCTGAGGGTCATGCAGAGTTGAGGTCGGGCCCATTTCGGGGGCAAGTGGGGACTGTGCCTGGCCTCCTGCATCTGAAGCACTTTGAGCTATGCAGCCCCATTGATTTGTTTTTTTTGGCCACAGCCAACGATGCTCAGAGTTTCCTCCTGGCACAGTTTGAGGGGACCACATGTGATGCCAGGGATTGAACCCGGGTTGGCCAGGTGCAAGGCTAAGCGCCTCTCTGGCCGTGCTAACGCTCTGGCACCTGTCATAAAATGGTTTTGCTTGGCGGAAATAGGATAGGGTTAGGGTCCTGGGCTTTGAAGCTGCAGGTGTGCATGGTATTTGGAGCCTCTGAGGGCTGGAAAAGACCAGGGGTTCATTTTAAGGAATCTTAAAGCCTGAAGTAGGAGCTGTTGAGAAGGTCTGGAGTGGCAGAGGTGGAATAGCTCGGGCCAGAAAGGCTGTGAAAAAGGACTGTGGGAGCTCAGTGGATGGACTGAGCATTGGCCTCGTGTGCAGGAGTCTGGATTTGATCCAAAGCCTGGTACCCTCGGCACCCCCAAGAGCACCCTGAAACGCCAGGCAGGAAGCACCACTGGAGGTGGTTCCCAAACAAAAAGGCTGCTGTGCAAAGTATGAACCTTCTTCCCAAGGGCACTGGCAAGCTTTGGTAGGGGAGTGGGTGCACATGGGACCCTGGGTCTCATCCCCACGTTGCAGGGTCCTCAGAGACCCTAGTGTTGCTGGGAAGTTCCTCAAAGACCAAGATCTCCTGTGACCAGCTCCCTGCCCAGCCCTGTTTCTCCAAAGCAGCAAGCCTCAGCCCCCTCAATGATGGGTCCTAAGCCTCTGAACCTACCCTCCCCCTACCCCCCCCCCCCCCCCCCCCCCCCCCGTCTGTCATCAAAGGCCGCCTTCTCAGGGAGGTCTTCCTGCTCTGAGGGATTTACTTACTTTTTTGCTTATTGGGTCACACCTGGTGATGCTCAGCAGTTACTCCTGGCTCTGCACTCCTAACCGAGCTCAGGGTACCATATGGGATGCCAGGGATTGAACCGGGGCTGGCAGTGTGCAAGGCAAATGCTCTCCCCGCTCTATCCTCTCTGGCTCTTTATGCTTTTAAGGTCTGTACCTAACAGAGGAGGGAGACATTCCTGCTAGGGCCCATCTGGTAGTGGGGACTGTACTCTGGTCTCCTGCATCTGAAGTCCTTTGAGCTCTCTGCGGTCTCACTAATTTTTGGTATTTTGGGCCACACCTGATGGTGCTCAAAGATCACTCTTGGCGGGGCTTGGGGGACTAGATGGGGTGTCAGGGATGCAAGGCAAGTCGAGTGCAAGGCAAACGCCCTTCCCGCTGTCCTATCACTCCAGCCCCTGCAGTCCCATTCATTTTGTATTTTATATAGGTGTGTGTATGGTGGTGGTGGGGTGGGGATTTGGGGACATACTCAGGGACACCCAGGGGCTACTCCCAGCTCTGTGCTCAGGGACCAGTCCCTGTGGTGCTGGGAAGTAACCTTGGTGTTCTGCGTGCCGGCGGGCTCCTTCTGGAAGCCCCTGCCTGCGCCCTGCCCCTCCCCACATGACCCCTCTCACAGGCTGATGTCGCCATTGATGCTCGTCTGCAACAGGTAGGCCTTAGCGTTCTGAATGGCCAGTTCCCGTGGCTGTGGCTCGGGCACCTCGGGCCCGAAGGGCATGAAGCCCGCCTCCGAGGGTGAGAAATGCAGGGTAGGGTCGTCCCTCAGGTAGGGCCCGTGCTGCGCATCCTCGCTGTACTGCAGCTCATCAGTCTGGTACAGGCCGCCCAGCTGGCTGAGCAGCTCGGAGGTGGGCGGCTGGTAGGCGGCCTCCAGCTGCTGGTACAGCCGCTCGTCCTGCTGCAACCGCTGCAGCATGAAGCTGTGGCTGTCCTCCTCATCGTCCTCGCCCAGCTCGTCCAGGAAGGCTTGCTGGGACTGGGGGTGATAGAGGGTGCTGATGCTCGGGTACTCGGCGCCCCCCATCCCGGGTGCCGGCATCTGGAACACCGGGAGGCCCCCCGCGTCGGGGACCAAGCCTCCCCCGGGGGCCCAGGTCTGGAAGGCGTCCAGACCTCCCTGGGGGCTGCCGGGGGGCTGCGAGATATCCGGGACCCCCGGGAGCTCCTGTGTGGACAGGGCCGGCGCTAGGCCGGCGCGCTGCTCCGTGGGCTGGGACACCCTCTGGCCCAAGAAGTCCTGCGGATCAGGGTCTGGTGGGGGATCGGCCATGGTTCAAGGGGGGAGTTGGACTCCGCAATGTCTCTGCGGGAGGCGGGCTGCCCGGGCGGTTTCTAAGGGCGGAGGGGGCGGGGCCGCAAGGGACGAGGCTCGAGCAATGCGCATGCGCAGACAGACTCCGCCCGGCCCCGCCTTTTAATCCTCTTTAGACAAAGCCCCGCCCCGCCCGCCCTCCCGCCCCGCCCCGCCCCGCCCCCGTCAGCTGTTCCCCTTGGTCTCCAGTTCTCCAGCATCCTCTGCAGAGGGGCTGGGGGTCTTCGCGGTGTCCTCCCCCGCGGGGGTGAGGGTCTGAGGGCTCCGCTCCTCCTTGGAAGCCAGGCCGCCCGCTGCTGCCTCCTGGTGACAGGCCAGGAAAGGGGGAGTCCGGTTAAAGCAGCTTTGCACCTCACCCCCCTGCCCCGCGGTCCTCCCTGGCGGTGCTCCTCCCGCCCGAGGTCCTCCCCCCACGCCCTGCAGTCCTCCCGACCCACCCCAGCCCCGCGCCCAACCGCCATTCTCCCCCCCCACCTTGGGGAGGGGCCCCTCTAGACTGGAGTCCAGCAGGGCGGCCTCAGTGAGCCCCGCGTCGTCATCCATGCTGATGAAGATGGCTGGGGTCTCGCACTCCGGCCCCTCCTCTCGGAAATCCATCACTTCTTCCGGCTGCTGCGGGGGGCCCGGCCGGGAGGCGGCGGACGAGGTGGAGGCGGTCGAGGCGGCTGCGGGAGCGGTGGAGGCAGCAGCCCCCATTCCCACCGCCCCCGGTTTCAGCTTCTGTTCCTCCTCCAGCTGCCGCTTTAAGGCCTTCTCCTGGGCCAGCCGCAGGCCGATGAGGTCCTGAGGGGCCCGGGGGGCGGGCGCTGGAGGCTCCAGGTCATCCTGAGGCACGGGGGTGGGGGGGACACGGCCTCTCAGAGAGGGGTGGGGGCCCAGGCATGGCCCTCACCATCTTGCATCTCCCAGAATGAGAGGAGCAAGGCTGAGACCCCAAGGAGACGGAGACCAGGGCAGGTGGGCCCAGGGTGCTCCTGGCAGGAGATGCTGGGCAGGCTGTGGTGCCTTGGGGGCCAGGGCTGCAGGCTCTCACCTCTTCCAGGGATCCCGCGGGTACCTCCTTGGCCTCCGGTTCCTGCTTGCCGCTGGCCTCCAGGATGGCCATGATGGAGTTGGGGATGTGTGCTTGCTGCAGGCAGGGCGTGGGGCCATGAGTGCCGGAGTTCTGGCGGCCCTCTGACCCCACCCGACCCGCCCAGCCGGCAGGGTACCTGGTGTGGGGTGAAGGAGCGGACGTGGGCCAGCAGCGGCTCCCGCAGCTCGGGGCACTTGTCGAACACGGCACTCAGTTGCTGTGGCGGCAGCTGCAGAATGACCTGGAAGCTCTGCGGCTTGGTTCGCTGGCAGCACTTGATGAAGCCCTCCCACACCTTGGGGTACTTCCACACCTGGGAGAGGCGAGTCGGCGTGAGGCGGTGGCCCAGCACTGCCACCCAGAGCCTGCTGTGGGGGCCCTTGCGTGCCCCATTTCCCACAGTGGCCTTGGGGTCCCACCTAGCCCTGACTACCCTCCCAGGCAGTGGGGTCGCCAGGGATGCTTAGCCAAGGGAAAGAGAGCCAAGTGTCCCCGGGAGCAGGGGGCAGGTGCTTGGAGCAGAATGAGGGGGTCAGCCCTAGGGTGGAGTCCAGTCTGGGGGGCTTGCAGAAACCCTGATTTCTGGGCCAGGGCAACAGCACAGTGGGGAGTGTGTTTGCCTCGCACACAGCTGACCCCCGGTTCAATCCCTGGCATCCCATAGGGTCCCCCATGTACTGCCAAGAATGATTCCTAAGTGCAGAGCCAGGAATAACCCGAGCATTGTGGGATGTTATCCAAATTCCACCCCCCCAAACAACAACAACAACAACTCTGATTCCTAGGTTCTATCAGCTCTGGGCCGTGGCGGAGGGGCAGAGACACCCCCTACCCAGCCCGGGATGCCCAGTCCTCCTGCCCCCGCTACCTGCTTCATGATGAGGCGGGCCAGGATGTTCATGACGAAGCCCCCAAGGCGCGGGTACATGGTGAGGGACTGGATGACGGTGCGCATGAGCAGCATGGGCAGGGGGCTCTGCTCCATCAGCTGCTGCATCACCACCGCCAGCACCTCCGACGTGTACACGTTCCGCTCCGCGAAGCACAGGTTGGTGGCTGCGAGGGGGGCGGAGACGGGTCTGTCCTCCTGGCCCCGCTGCCCTGGGCAGCCCCAACCCCTGCAGACCCACCCGACCCGCCCAGGGGCCACTCGCAGATGAGTCCTGGGGCCTGGACCCTGAAAGCCAGTGGGTGGGGGGAACACGTGCCCTTGGGCGCGCCTGGTGAACAGGGTGATGGAGACCCCTGCCTTCTTGCCCACCAGCCCAGAGCTTGAACAGGACACAGGATCAAGGGCCATGACAAGCGGTGGGGTGTCAGGTCAGAGTGACGTGGGGATAGCTGGAAGAAAGAGAAGGATGAGGAGGGGGCCTGGGTGGACAAGCCCCCCCAGCTTCCTCTGGGAAAGTCAGGGTCCGAGGAGAAAGCTTCCACCAAGATGAGCTGGGAGTGGCAGGTGCTAACCCCACACCCGTGGGCCTGGCAATGGCCCAGGGAGACCCCAGGAACCGCCTCGGAATCCCCCTTTCTCCAAACACCACGTGCGATATGAGCAGATGAACCAGGAAGTCTTTATTGAGCAAGAAGAGACCCTGCCCTAGATCTGGAAAGGCTGATGCTGGGGGTTCCCCTGAGGACGGGGCTCCACGGGGAAAGGAGTGAAGGAGGGGATTTTCCGGCCAGACAGGATGGAGCAGGTCCAGTGTGGGGAGGGCCCACCCAGATTCCTGCCGATCCCTTCACAGGAGGAGCTGCCCTGTCTAGTGGCCTCCAGCTCCAGGGTGCCCCCCAGATGTGTCCCTCCCTCAACAGGTAGCCTGCGGGGTCCACATGGTGCAAAGCAGTGACCCTGGTCCCAGAGGTCAATGCAGATCCAGCCCTGACCCAGAACTCAGCTGAGCTGTGTGTTCGAGGCCCAGGTTGGCTTCCCCCAATGTAAGCCCTGACTTTTGTTGTTGTTGTTGTTGTTTTGGGGCAATATCTGGTGATGCTCAGGGCTTACTCCTGGCTCTATGCTTAGGGGATAATATGGGATGCCAGGAATCGAACCTGGGTCGGCCGTAAGGCAAGAGCTCTCCCTGCTGTCCCATGACCCCACCCCCAAGGCCTGACTCTTGACCAGGCGCTCTTCCCAGTCCCAAGATGGCCCAGGGTCAGCCCTTCAGTTCCAGAAACGGGGTCTCCTCTGCTACCTTGCCCCTGTTCTTTGTCCTGCCTGTACTGGGAGGGCTAGGTGGCCCCCTTCCTCCAGAAAGCCTTCCTTGACGTTCCATTTCCTTGCCAGCTGGTGCCTCAGGGTTGCCCTGTCTGGCCTGTGAACTCTGGGTCACTGCTGTGGATGGCGATGGGCCTGGGGAGGGTGGGACCGGGTGCTCTCCAGCCCGACCGACCGTGTCCCTAGCATGACCAAGGGCACTGGGAACTGCCCTAGTTTCTGCATGAAGAAAGGGCTAGTTACAAAAAAGCACCTCAGGGGAGGAAGGGGCAGAAGGGGGGCAAATGCCTGGGGCTAAGGCTGCTGGCACTGCACACTTGGTGGGGGTTGGCAGTGCCTGGGCACACTAGGATTACAAACAGGACAGGCTGATGGAGGCAGGCTGGTGCAGTGTGCTGGGTGGGGGCGGGGGCAGCTCTGTCCCAGAGGCTGGGGGCCAGGGTTGAAGACCCCCGGGTCTTCTAAGGGCTGGTTTATAACACAAAGGTATCAGAGAGACAGGACAGCAGGAAAAGCAGCCCCTGTGCACGTGGCCACCCAGTTCAATCGCTGGCACCACCAGCTGTGGCCCCCAAAACAACAACTGGCGCCCTCTAAATTTGGGGTCACACCTGGCACTGCTTGGTAGCCTGCCAGTTTGACAAACTGGCAGGCTACCGAATGTAACCTGCCCACACGGCAGAGTCTGGCAAACTCCCCGTGGCGTACCCAATATGCCAAATACCAGTAACACTGAAGGGTCTCATTCTCTTAACTCTGAAAGAGCCTTGAATATGGCACTTAAAAAAAAAAATCTCAGGGCTAGGACGAAGAGACGTTACTGGGGCCTGCTCGAGGCAATCGACGAATAACAGGATGGTTGTGATTGTGATTGTGACCTGGCACTGCTCAGGGGCTGTTCCTGGCTCGGTACTCAGGAGTGACCCCTGGTGGTGCTCAGGGATCACACACAGCACTTCACCTACAGGGCCAGCAGGGGGAGGGTGGGGGCGGGGATGCAGGCTGAGTCCTTCCCCCCACCCCGTGTGCTTCACCTTCATGCCAAGGCGTACCCTGGGGCCTAGACAGCAGCCTGAGGAGCCCCCTCCAGCCATTTCAGGCTGCCATGAAGCAGGGCTGAGAGAGGAGAGGCAACCCCCTGGGCACTGGTCTGTGAGAGAAGGGAGGGCCCCCAGAAAGTGTGTGGGGGGTGACCCTGGCGGTGAAACCGGGTGTTTTCTGCAGACACAGTCTTCGCGAGGGGTGGGGGGGCACGCCGGCAGCACAGGCCGTGTCTGTGTGTGTGTGTCCCCAGCTGCAGGTTCCCGGGTGAGTGTGGGTCCCTGCAGGGCCTCACCTTTGATGATGGACTTCATGTCACACTTGGCCGAGTCAATGTTGTGCAACGCGATGAGCAGCTCTCCGGGGTTCAGGGGGGACAGGGCCGAGTTCCCTTCACCTGCAGGGGGCGGCAGTGCATGCAGACAGCCCACCCGCTGCTTGGTGCTTGGGGCGGGGGGTGGGGGGAACGGAGAAAGGACACACGGACCAAGGAGATGCGTGGGAGAGAGAGGCAGGAGGAGGCTGAGGCAGATGAGGCCAGTGTAACTGAATCCCAGCGCTCCTGCCCTCCTCATGGGGCCAAGCACCCCGGGGTGGGACCCTCTCCTAGGACTCCAGCACCCTGGGAGGGGTGGGGAGTGACGTCCCACCTCGCTGTGGTGTCCAGGTTATGGGGGAGGGGGAGGGCTCTGTGTTCAGGCCTGTGGTTTTCTCACCCTTTCCTTTCCCACCGCTCAAACCAAACCCATCTCCAAACGCGGGGCACAGCGGCGCCGGGAAGGGGCCCAGAGGCCGCGGCCCATACCGTGCTGGGTGCCGAGCAGGCGGTTGAAGACCTCCTTCACCACAATAGGGTTGAGCTTGATGAGCTTCGGCAGCGCTTGGATCACCTCTTTCTGCGGGGGACAGGGAGGTGGCGTAGCTCAGTCCCCATCTGCCTGGCCCAGGAGTGGAGTGCAGGGGAAGACGGGGCAGGCCCAAGTCCCCCTGCCTCTGGAGAGGAGTGTGCTGGGTACATGTCTCTGTATCTGTGTGCTCGCATGCTTGCATGGATCACGTGCCAGCGAGGAGGCTTGTAGTCACAAGGGGCTGGGGGAACCCAGCTCTGACAACGCCCCCATGGGACCTGCCCAGGTATCCTCCTGTGCCCCCCTGCTCCCCGCGGTGGTCCCCCACCTTCTCCAGCCCGTTGAGCACTGGGATGAGGAACCGGACATCTGGCAGCCGCTTGTGGTACAGGTCCCGGACTCGCTTCACCAGCTCTGGGGAGGGCGGGACTGCAGGCAGAGCCAGGGGAGGCAGGGGTCAGAGAGGGTGGGGTGAGATGGCGTGCGGGGGCAACGATGCCGGGGCCCACCATGGGCACCCACCTTTGTCTGTGAGGCTGTGCAGGCAGCGCGTGACCAGCGTCTCGGCACCCTTGGGGCAGTTCTCCACCAGCAGCAGCAGCTCCGGGGAGTTCATGCCCATGCCTCGGATCTGCGGGACACACGGGACAGGACCAGGGGACCGTGAGAGGAACCTGATGTGATGTCATCGCTGCCTATGACAAACCCACCAGGCCAGCGCGCGCTTGGACAGGGCTGTCGGGCTGAGAGGGTCTGGACCGCCACATCCGCAGCCTCTGGAGCCTTCCTGCCTCCTGGGTTCAGCCCCAACCACCACCCCATTTCCTTGCTGGGGACGGTCTGGCTGGCTCGAGAGCCCTGGCAGAGGGCAGCCTGCCCTGCTCCCGTGTGCTGTGCCCGCACCCCCGTGTGGCACCCCCCGTCCGCTTTGGGGGATAAGCGACAGGGAAGCGGAGAGGGTGCTGCCGTGACCTTTCACCCCCATGTCACAAGGCAGGACAGACCACCTCCCTCTTGGCACGGCAGCAGGTAATGCAGGGGTACGGGCAAGAGCCGGGTTCGATCGCTGGCACCTTCCTGACTACCACTGGGACCACTGGGCAGTGCCTGGGGCCCTGCGGACTCCCTGCACTGAGCCCACTCAGCGTCAGGGATAGAAGTTAAAAACAGCTCCTGGGGCTACATTGACAGCACAATGGGGAAGGTCTTGGCCCTGCATGCAGCTGACGTGGGCTGGACCCCTGGCATCCCACAGGGTCCCCTGAGCCCCACCGCAGTGATCCCTGAGCACAGAGCCAGGAGTAAGTTCCGAGGACGGCCAGGTGTGGCCCCGAAATCGAGACCATGAAAAAGCCACCACACCTGGGCAGCAAGGCTAGCCCCGTGAACGCAGCGTGGCTAAGGCCACCCGGAGGACAGGACAGAGAAGAGCACGTGTGACACTTCAAGACAACAGGCATGTCAGGACAGGGCGCAGGGCTCAGGCAAGGAGAGGCTGCGTGAGGGCCCCACTGTGGCTGCCCTGCTGCCCACTCACCGGCTGCTCGATGACCCGCAGCACCGTGCGCTTGATGTCGGCGATGGCCTCCGTGTACACGGCTGCCAGCTCGTGGATGAGCCTGTGGTTCTGTGGCAGCAGCGCCAGGTAGAGGTACAGACACTGCTTCACTGTCTCCTCCGTCCAGGGCGCCGCCACCTCTGCGGGAGGGCCGGGACGGTCAGGAGCAGCCCCCTCGCACTCCAGGCCCAGGGTGGTCAGGGGGGCACCATCCCTTATGCCCAACCCCCTGGCTCTGACAGGAAGTTCAGCCCTCAGTGCCATGGGGGTCTGGCTCTGCCCCACCTGCTCCCACTCTTTGGGACTCCCAAGTCTGTGCTCCTGAGCAGGCCGTACTCTCTCCCCTCCTGGGGCTGGACCCCCTCACCCTGCCGGCTTAGGCAACCAGTGCCTTCCCGGAAGCCTTCCTGGCCTGGCCTGAGCCTTCCCACGAGTTGGGGTGGGCCCCACTGCTCCATCTCTAATTCTGAGGACCCACCGTGTTGCTGAGGGGAAGGACTGCAACTATCTTGCCTGGTCTGGACTCCCCCACACCCCCGCCCGGCTCTGGCCCCCTGTGAATTCTCCCGGCGCGCCCCCCCGCCCCACCTCCGGGAAGGTCTCCCTAACCACCCCTCCAGCTGGGTCAGGCGCCACCCGGGGCTCCAGGCGGCCGAGGAAGCCGCCTCACACCTGTGTCCTTGTCGGCGCCGAAGAGCACGGAGGGCGGGTTGGGGTGTACGAGCAGCTGCAGGTAGTTGAGGGCGAATTTCTCCACGTACTCGCGCAGCTGCTCCTTCTCGTACATGCGCTTGATGAAGAGCAGCGCCTGCGAGCGTACCTGGCGGGGGGGGCATGGCCTGGCTAAAGCTGGGGACCCCCGTCCCCGCTGTCCCGGGTGATGCCTATCCACCCCGGGCCACCATGCAGAGCAGGCAGTGGCGGCTGAGTCCCCGCCTGGACACGCTGCAGAAGGCACCCAGGCCAAGGGGCTCCCGACCACACGTTCGCACACGGGTCCGCTCGTGTTTCTGGCCTCAGGTCCCACGTGTGCCCCAGAGCTCCCTTACTACCCCCCCCCGCCCCCACCAAGCCAAAGGCTGTGTTTGCCCTGTGCCCCGGCGGAGCCAGGATGAAGGGAGTGCGTGGCCCCAGTGGTGGTGGGGGGGAGGGTGCGTGGTCCTGGCGGGAATCCCGCACGAGAGGCCAGAAAGGCTGGGTGCCACCTGGCAGAGCTGTCCAGGGCCAAGTGGGAGGGGAAGGGCCGGCTGCGCTGGGGTCACGGCAATCACCTTGTCCTTCTCGTGGGAGCTGAGGTCCAGCAGGACGTGCAGGTACTGGAACTGGCGGGACGGGCGCTTGAAGATCAGGTCCCGGAGGGTGGACATGCCCAGGTAGGTGCGGCTCTGGGGAGTGTGGGCAGGAGCTGACCTTGGGCAGCCTGTGGCCCGCTCTCATCCTGGGGCTGCAGGCCGAGTCCTCGAGTCCCTAGAGCCCACCCCTCCACTCCTCAACCCCCCTCACTCACCTCATCCTCACAGTACTTGCGGATCACCTCCAGGGCGCTCTCCGTGATCAGTGGGGCCTCCAGCACCACTTTAGTGAAGACCCTGCCAAGAGGAGGGTTGGGGGCTGCAGCAGGTCTGCGAGGGAGCCGCCCGGGGGGACTATTTCAGGCGTGGTGGCCACTGAAGGCCCCTCGGAGACCATGATGCCAGCACAGGTGGGGGAGGCATCGGTGGCCAAAGCAGAGGGGACAGGCCTCTGGGAACTGGACAGTGGCCCGCCAGACTGGGCACACACAGGTCTCGGCCGCAGAGGCAGCGTGTTACCCACGAGCAGTGTGGGCAAGATTCTGGCGGGTAAAGGCCTGGAGGAGGCTTTGCAACAGGAATAGTTGCGGACGGCATGGGGAGAAGGGCAGAAGAGCTGGAGGTAAGCTCAGCTCCCACGCAGCCTCCAGGGTGGGAGCAGGGCTGCTCTGGGAGCCTGCCCAGGAGTGCAGGGTGGAGAGACGGGACCATGGATGGGTGGGAGGAGGGACAGATGGATGGAAGGATAGACAGATGGGTGATGGATGAATGAGAGGGTGGATGGGAGCTTGGATGAGTAGATGAATGAATGGGGGAGTGGATTGGTGGATGATGGACAGGTGGATGGATGATGGACAAGTGGATGGACGAATGGGAGAGTGGGTGGGTGGCCAGATGATTGACAGGTAGATGGATGAAGAGGAGAGTGGGTGGATAGATGATGGACAGGTGGATGGATGAATGAGAGTGGGTGGTGGGTAGATGATGGACAGATTGACAGATAGATGGGAGGGTGGAGGGGTGATGGACGGTCGGATAGATGGGGTGCTGGGGAAGAGGCAGGCAGATCGGAGAGCAGGAAAGGGGGCTCCTCCTGAGGACAGAGCTCTGCAGGGCTGTGGCCTCACCCGTCCTTCTGGTCTGGCTTCTCCTGCAGGCCGGAGAGCAGGCGGATGAGGCAGTCCTCATACTTGTCCAGGGTGCCCGCGGCCCCTGCGGCCAGGTAAGCGTTGTACTCCTGGTAGAGCCAGGCGAAAGCTAGGTCCAGGCGGGCACGCACATCCTCCAGGATGAAGGATAGGACCTCAGCCTTCAGGCCTGCGTCAAACTGCGTCACCAGGCTAGCCAGGATCTTTATGCGTACCTGCCAGGACAGGAAGCTTGTGGGGCCAGCGCCCACGGTAGTGTCCCTCACCCAGCCCAGGCTAGAAGCAGGGAGCAGTGCAGACCCCGGGTCCCGTGAGGAAGCACGTAATGACCGACAGGCCCAATCTGTGTGTGGGGAAAGTGAAGGGCAGAAAAAAATCACGCCCAAGTCAAACTGGAGTTTCCAGGAGTTTCTGCACACCCAGGTGCCATCTTTAAGGCCTGCCCTGATGGGTGCAAGTGGGGGGGGGGGGAGGGTATGTCCTCTGGGGGAAGATGCTGGAGTGGGTGGAGGCCCCAAACAGGTTCGGAGGCTCTGTGTGGCCTGGCCAGGGTCTGTCGAGTGATGGTGCTCACGCAGGAGCTGGCTCACGAGAAACAAACTCCAGAGACTGAGGCTGAGTGGCCAGTTTGAGGCTCTCGAGCTGGGGGAGGGATGTGGGGTGGGGTGGGGGGGCTCCGGAGCACACCTGCGCCGCCCCGCTGCAGGCCACAGCCTTCTCGGCCCGCAGGATGCGCTTCACGGCCCCCAGCTTCATGGCCTCCACCTGCGCGTCTGTCAGCGGCTTCAGCACATCGCTCAGACGGAAGATTTTCTTGCGCCCACCAGCGCCTGTGAGTCTGGAAGCAAGGCCAGGGAAGGGCTTTTGGAGCATGCTAGGACCCTCAGGTCGCCTTGGTGACACTGTCCCAACTTCAACTCCCCCCGCTCCAGCTACCTCCTGGCACACAGGAGCACAAAGGGACTCCTGCTCCTCTGGGGTAGCAGGGGGGAAGGGGGTAACATGAGGATGCAATTTCGTCATTAGAAAGCTGACCTCGGGCCAGCAAGCTAGCTCAGGGTAAGGCGCTTGTCTCGCCTGGAGTCAACCCTGGTTCAGTTCCCAGTATGGCAGATTGTCCCCTGAGTACTGCTGGGAGTGACCCTAGTCCTAGAGCCAGGAGTCAGCCCCAAGCTTCACCAGCATGCCACCAAACCTAAACAACAAAAACACCAGGTGCAGAGGCCGGTGGGGGTAGGGGAGAGTGTGGAGACGGACACTCCCGCTCAGCGGGGCAAGGTTCTGCAAGTGGCCAGTGGGAGGCACGAAAACACACCAGGGTCTCCTGGGGATGGGGCTGGATGTGGGGGGTCCGACATGCCACAGCCAGCAGCATCTTCAAGTTAGGGCGCACCCCCCGCCCCGTGGCTTCAGGAAGCGGCCACTTGGCACCCCAGGAGCGATGATCTAGTGCCCCAGCCATGCTGGGGTCTGACTTCATCCCCCAACCCCGCCTGGGACCCACACCCTTGGGAAACACCCGGAGGAAGAAAGGGCCCCACTCAGGGTCAAGGGCAAGACGACTCCAGCCTGGCCTGGGCGGGGACTCACCGGGGCTGCGTGACGGGGATGATGGGCTCAGGCCTCCTCTTGGCCTGGGGGGCCTCCTCCTCTAGGGTGGACATAGTGCTCAGCGAGCCCACCACGGAGATAGCCTGGCCCTGTGCCGACAGGCGCCGCTTGATCAGGACGCTCTCGGGCTTCACCACCTTCTCCTCCTTGGGCTCCTCGCGGCACTGCTTGGTCTGTTCCACGCCTGGGGAGAGGCAGCCGGGCCAGCGTGTCACCCCGGCCCGTCCCAGCGGGGGCCAGACTTGCTGCTAGTCTCCTGACTGCAGAACTCACTTAGTGCCTCTCTAGAGAGGCCCCGGGTGATGTGGGTCCCCTGTCCTCAGGCAATGACGAGGCGCTGACTAGACAGGCCTGGCCCAGCTTCCCCGGCAAACAAAGAGCCATTTCTTATTTTTTCATTTTTTTATTATTAGTTTTGGGACACACCCAGCTATGCTCAGGGCTTACTCCTGGCTCTGTGCTCAGGGAACTATCTGGGAAGCCTGGGACCGAATCCGGGTCAGCCTCATGAAAGGTAAGTGCCCTTGCCCTCTCCAAGAACACCAGCCTTTTTTTTGGGGGGGCTCATGCCCAAATGCTCTTGTAACCTGGGATTGCCCCTGGCTCTGCACTCAGGAATTACTCCTGGTGGGGCTCAGAGGACCATATGGGATGCTGGGAATTGAACACGGTCGGCCACATGTTCGACCGACTCAGGAATGACTCCTGAGCACTGCCATGTGTTGCCAAAACACACTCCCCTCAAAAAAAAAAAAGTTGGGGTGTGGGAGCAAAGGCACAGCAAGGAGCTTGTCTTGCACATGACCAACCCCAGTTCGATCCCCAGAACCCCACGTGGTCTGAGCTCAGCCAGGAGTGACCCCTGAGCATAGCCAGGTGTGGCCCGACAACCAAGCATTGGGGCCAACCCACATATCTGTAAACACATAAGTGTGGGTTCACAGAGCGACTATTTTTTTTTCCTTTTTGGGTCACACCCAGCAATGCTCAGGGGTTACGCCTGGCTTTGCACTCAGGAATCACTCCTGGCAGTGCTCAGGGGACCATAGGTATGCCAGGGATCGAACCCGGGTTGCCCGCGTGCAAGGCAAATGCCCTACCCACTGTGCTATTGCTCCGGCCCCCACAAAGTGACTATTACTGAATAATAATAAAAGAAATGCAGCAAAGATGAACCTCGCAGATGTCTGCTCGGCGAACAGCCAGACCCCCACAGGACTTCACACCAAACTGGCCAAACTGCTTTGGGGTGGTGGAGGGGCCCTTTCCCCAGGATGCCCATGAGACCCAGATAGGTTCTCAGGGTGAGCTCAATGTGTGCAATTTATACCTCAGCAGTACCATGAAGGTGGGAAAGCACCGCAGCTCAGAGAGGTTAAATAAGTTAACCAAAGACACACAGCTGTTTAGCAGTTGATTCCATCTTTCTTTCTTTTTGTGCAGTGCTGGGGATGGAGCCTTGGGCCTCATACACACACAGCAGGCCAATTCTAGTTCTGAACCCTGGACCCAACCTCTACCATTTTTTTTTTTTAAGTAAAACAGATTTTATTTGGAGGTTTTGAATGAGAGGAGGAGAGAACGAGGGAGAGAGTGGAGAGTAATGTGCTCAAGAAAGAACCTGGGCTTGTTCAAGGATGTAGAGAGCCCCTATACACATCCCAGCATTAGACAGGAAAGCATGAACGTACACATCTCAAGAGAGCAGATGGGGAACACATGTGCTCAGGTGTCACAGTGCTCAGCTACATGGGTGTAAGAAGCACATGGGCTCAGCAGCATATGTGCCTTGGTTTTTTTTTTTTTTTCTGCTTTTTGGGTCACACCGGGAGATGCTCAGGGGGTTACTCCTGGCTCTGCACTCAAGAACTACTCCTGGCGGTGCTTGGGGAACCATATGGGATGCCAGGGATTGAAATCGGGTCAGCCGCATGCAAGGCAAACGCCCTCCCCGCTGTCCTATCGCTCCGGCCCCTGCCGCCTCTTTTTTCCTCAAGCCCTCATCCTCAGGTGTGCTGGAATGTCAAACGGCAGGGTGTGAGCCAGCAGCTTTCCAGAGCCTGGCCTGATTCCCGTTGCGTCACTGTCTGGCGACACTCACCTGGGCCCAGACCGGCCGCTGTCATCTGCGTAGCCATGAGCCGGGCCAGGTGCTTGATTTGGGCTTCGGTGCCCGCCGACTCCACAGGGGTGTAGATGGCTTGGAAGGATGCGGGCATGGCCTCGGGCAGGTACACCATGCTGATGAGGACCTGCAGAGCGGGGTGGGAGGCTTGGGCCTGTGCTCAGTGGCACAGGCTCCTGGCAGGGCTGGAGGCTCCACGCACCAGGGCGCAGGGTGGACTCTGGCGCCGGAAGGGAGGTGGGGAGGCCAAGACTGAAAACTGCTGGGGGTCAAGGAGCCTCAGAGCAGGAAGTGCTGGGACCGACATGGCTGGGGGCGTCTTGGGCAGCACGTGGAGGACGGCGCACGGAAGGGTCTCACAAGGAACCAACTTCCAGAAAAATTCACCTTCCTCTGAACATGTCTCTGTTTGGAGCTGAAAAGGAGACTTCAAACGCTCGCCAGGTTTGGAACAAAATAGAGTAGGAAAAAATAAATGAAGCCACTCTAATCAAAAAGTGTGGGACGTTTTGATTAAATGGGATTTCGATGGAAAGTCAGCTCCAAAAGGAGAGGATGGGATGGGTCTGGACAGGCTCAGTCTCCCAGCGCCGTCAGGAGAAGGACCAGAGAAGGGGATGTCCCCAGATGAGGGGAAGCTGGCGGTGACCCTCTCTCTGAGGATCAACTGTTCCAGTGAGACTAGAATCATCTGGAGGAGGGAAAGATGGTGGCGCCCATGTCCTGCCCTGCAGGAGATGCTCCCCCCACTTCTCACCAGGTTGGCCACATTGTCGGGTGTCAACAGAGGCTGCAGGAACTCAGCGGTGATGTCAGTGTCCGACTGGCCTGAGATCTGGGCTGAGGCCTTCGACGTCCCGGACGGGCCTGGCTCCAGGTCCTTGTCCTCATCATCCTCTCCCAGGTTGGGCTCTAGAAGGAAAAGGAGGCAGCTCTGGGTCTGCCCCTTCCCCAGGTACCCCAGGTCTCTGCCACCGGGAGTGGCAGAGACAGGAAGCGCTGACCTGGGCGGTGGCCCTGGGCCTGCCTGGAGTGTCCCAAGAGCTGGGTACCTGCATCTGGCTCGACGCTCCCCTGGGAACCTGGCACAGTCCAGGAAGAGCCCATCGGGCTGGAAGAGGAGGAAATGCTGAGAGCTGGGGGCCAGGAAAGGTGTCAGAACATTGGGGCGCAACCCCCAATGGCATATGGTCCTCCAGTGGGGCTAACTAGCTTTGAACGCCACCCCCACACAGCGGGAAAAAAAAATAGAGAAAAAACTGAGTTAAGAATTTCAAAGCTTTGGGGGCTGGAGCGATAGCATAGCGGGTAGGCGTTTGCCTTGAACGTGGCCGACCCGGGTTCGATTCCCAGCATCCCATATCATCCCCTGAGCACAGCCAGTAGTAATTGCAGAGTCAGGAGTAACCCCTGTGCATCACCAGGTATGACCCAAAAAGCAAAAAAAAAAAAAAAAAAAAAAAAAAAGAATTTCAAAGCTTTGAAATTTGGGGGCCGGAGCAATAGTACAGCAGGTAGGGCATTTACCTTGTACACTGGGTTCAATCCCTGGCATCCCATATGGTCCCCCAAACACTGCCAGGAGTAATTCCTGAGTGCAGAGCCAGGAGTAACCCCTGAGCATCTCTGGGTATGACCCCCACCCCCCAAAAAATATTTCAAAGCTTTATTATTTATAAACTTGTCATTTGGGGGTGGGGTGGGGCATAGTGTACAGTTGCTCAGGGGTTACTCCTGGCTCTGTACTCAGGAATACACCTGGCGGTGCTTGGGGAACACTATGGGATGCCAGAGATCGAACCCAGGTTGGCTGCATGCAAGGCAAAAGCCATCCCTGCTGTACTATCGGTCCAGCCCCAAAACCTGTCTTTGAACCGACTCAGCCTCACCGGGCAAAGGTCAAAATATAAGGGAGTCCGCAGTGAGGGTATGGGTGGAGGCATAGTGTGGGAAATGTTAGCAGGTGTAGAACTGGCCACATCAAGAAAAGGTCTGAAATACAAAGACGTTCCCTCAAGCACCAAGGCTTCCTGAGGTCGGCTGGGGAGAGTTTCACCCCTAACCCAACTTTATGCCCCAAATTTACTAAAACTAAAGAAAGGAAGAAAATTGGGGCCAGAGAAATAGCACAGTGGGTAAGGCACTTGCCCTGCCTGTGGCCAACCCAGATCCAACCCCGAGCATCCCGTAGGGTTCCCCCTGCCCCACGAGGAGTGATCCCTGAGCACAGAGCCAGGAGTGCGCCCTGAGCACCGCCAAGTACTACCCCAACACACACACACACACACACACACAAACCCTATTTATAAATGGAACAAAGGAGAGAAACTCAACATCCACAGGGTTTTCAGAAGGAAAACATACTTTAAGCACGGTTCGTTTGGGGGAAGAGAGCAAAGCGGGAGAATCTTCTCCAGCCGTTCCTATCCGTGGATCCTGAATTTCTCACCATCATTTTCTTTTTTTTTCCTCTTTTTCCCCCTCTTTGGGTGACACCCAGCACACAGGGGGACCATACAGGGTACTGGATATCGAACCCAGGTCAGCTGTGTGCAAGGCAAACGCCCTCCCCACTGTACTATGGCTCTAGCCCCCTCACCATTATTATTATTTTTTTTTCTTTTTGGGTCACGTCCGGCAATGCGCAGGGGTTACTCCTGGCTCTGCACTCAGGAATTACTCCTGGCAGTGCTCAGGGGACCCTATGGGATGCTGGGAATCGAACCGGGGTTGGCTGCATGCAAGGCAAACGCCCTACCCGATGTGCTATCGCTCCAGCCCCCACCTTGCCATTATTTTCAAGTCTCTCTTGTAATTCTGTGTTGGTCTCTCCGACTGTCACTGTCACTGGGTGACTTGTAATGCCTGTGACGGGAGTGACGCTCCTGGTCAAAACCCTGACGCAGCCCACAGTGGCGCCCTCACTCACCTAACTTCATCTTCTTGAGCGCGGAATCTGAGTCATCCCGGGGCCGCTTTCGAGCATCCTTCCCGCTGGGCATGTTGCGGGCGATCTCGGCCTGCGGGGTGCCCAGGTCCACCAGCAGGGTGGTGATCTGGGCCTGGAACTCCAGGGAGGCGGGGTGCTTGAGGACGCTCAGCAGGTGCAGCTTGAGGTTCTTGCGCACGCTGCTCACCTGGGATTTGCCCAGGGTTGGGGGCAGATTGGCTGTGAGGAGAGAGGCAGGGCTGGGAGCTGGGTTCTGGTCTCGGGGGCCCTGCTGGCGCCCCCTCGGCTGCCACCCTCCCCGGCCCCACCACCGCAGGGCTTTGATGAGAGCAGAGAGCAGGCTGGACCCTGAGGCCTTCCTCCCTGTCCATGGGGACCAGTGCCCAAGGCTGAGAACCCTCAAGGTTTCCGTCCATCTTAGTGCCCCATGTAAACAGAAAACTCACCCTCCCTTCTACTCGATATCAAGTTTCATTTCCCTTCATCTCTGGCCGGGAAATTCCAATGTGCCAACCCACAGGCAGGCTCAAGTCACTGCTTTCACTTCCGGAATGTTTCAAGTGAACCACGGCAACAGTTTGACATTGGGCTCCCGGCACTGGAACGACCCTCTAACGACTAACAATCACCTGGACAAGCAAGCCCCCCCTGTTCCAGACAATAAGAGGATGCCTGTAATTCTGCCTGCCCCACGTCCTGACCCCCATTCTCGGCCAACATTACCCTCATTCTCTGGGGAGGAGACCGCCCTGGATCCATCTAAGCCTAACTGAGCAAGAGCCTCTGGGCCAGTAAGAACGCGGCGATTCCTTCAGCTACTGTGATTGGTTTAGAGGGTGGCTCCTAATCTCTTCTCAGCCAATCAGAAACAATGAGCACCCACCCTCAGACCTTACGGTTGTCCAGGGGATGGAGCAGCCTGGACTTAACTTTAGGGCCATCTCTGTGCCCTCAAGGAAAGAGACAGACACAGAAACCGATCTGGAGAATAGCTACAAACCCATGCCTCCACCCCAGATTATTTTATTTCCACACACCAGCAAGGGAGAGAAAACACAGTAAACAGTCTTTAGCGCAGGGGCTACCACGACAGCAGGGAGGGTGCTCGTCTTGCATGAGGTCCACTCAGCTTCAATCCCCAGCATCCCATATGCTCCCCTGAGCAGCACTGGAAGTGATTCCTGAGTGCAGAGCATCACCAAGTGTGGAAAAACAAACAAACAAAAAACCAAAAAAACAACATACAGAAAAAGAATCCTCACTGCATAACCCTCAAATTTTGCTTGTCTGGTTCACCTACCCTTACTGCTTTTTTGTGGGAAAAGGATAATGGGGGAGGGGAGGGGCCACCCCTGAAGATGCTCAGGCCTACTTCCAGCTCGGGGGTCGTTCCCAGCAGTGCTTGGGGACCACAGGGCACCCCGGAGTCCTAGTCTCCTGATGCAAAGCCTGCCTGTAGCTACTGAGCTCTCTCTCCAGCCAGAGAACTGAACATCTTATTCATCTTGAGGGGTTGGGGGCCATAACTGCCTCTGCTCAGAGCCTCCTATGCAAGGTCGGAGATTCGATCAGATCATGCACCTTCCACCCGCCAGTGAGGGCAAGATTTCCAAACACCACCCCCACACACCTGCACATGAAAGCCGTCAGCATCTGCTTAAGACCCCGCCAAGAGAATCCTTTCTGGGTGTCCAGACAGGCAGACTGCTGGGCTCTCGTGGGGGTCCCTTGGGATCTACCATGAGTCTTCCATTTCCTCAGGCACAAGCAACCAGGCAGCGCAGAGGAAAGACTGGGGGAAGGGAGCCCCCGACTCACCATGCAGGGTTTCATAGGCCTGGATCACCTCTGACATAAACATGGGCCTCTGGCGGGCAATGTTGGCCAGGGAGCCCAGCGCCGTGGTCAGGTTGATGGAAGAGATGGCTGGGTGCACCATGAACTTCAGCAGCTGCTCCAGGGCGGCTTTGCCCTCTTCCCACAGTGCATCTGGGAAGGAGAGAGTAGATTAGCAGGAAGCCACCTCCAGGCCGCAACACGGAGACTGGCACCATTGGAGGGTATCAAAACTTAATGATGGAGCCAGAGCAATAGTATAGCCAGGAGGGTGTTTGCCTTGCACACAGTCAACCCAAGTTTGATCCCTGGCATCTCAAGAGTGATTCCTGAGTGCAGAGCCAGGAGTAACCCCTGAGCATTACCGGGTGTGACAGTCCCCTCAAAAAAATGGTGATGAGGCTGGAGTTATAGCAAAGAAAGTAAGGCACTGGCCTCGCATGCTGTTGACCCCGGTTCAGTCCTGAGCACAGTGCCAGGAGTAAGCCCTGAGCACCACCAGGTAGGGCCCCCCAAGCCAAAAATAAGTAGGGGCTAAAGAGATAGTATAAGCTGGGAGGGCACTCGTCCAATACACAACTGACCCGAGTTGGATCCCCGGCATCCCATATGGTCCCCTGAGCCCAGCCAAGAGTGATCCCTGAGTGCAGAGCCAGGAGTAAACCCTGAGCATCGCTGGGTGCGCCCCCCAAAACCAAAATAAATAAATAAGAAAATCTCAAACTCCACAATCCAAAGGACTTCATTCCTCCCTCCTCTACCCAGTCTCCAAAAACTCCTAACATATTAGAAGATCTTATTAGTTAGTATCGGCAAAAGCACAACAAATGCTAATTTATTTAAAACCATCAATGGAGAAAGTGTAAATAGAATGTGATAAATTCAAAATCACGGAGTTCTTTGGGGATCACACCTGACAATGCTCGTGGGTTGCTCCCAGCAGTACTGGGGGACCCTGAGGCACCCAGGGATCGAACAGGGTTCTCCCGCATGCAGAGTCTGCTCAACCCTGACCCGGCCCAGGAAAGATACCATGAGCTTACAGGGCTGAGCAGGCTCTGTGTGCCTAAGGTGTGGGTTTGCTCCCCAAAACAGAACTGGGAGAATCCCCTGAGCACCACCACCCCAAAAGCTAACACCAAAATGACATGGTTTGGGGCCCACAGGTCACTAAGCATAAAAAATACTGCTCCTGTGTGCAGCTCACCCCATAGCTTGCCCAGAGAACAACTTCCTCTGCCAGCCATCAACACATCCATGCCCAGGCCCACCCCCAACAGTGAAGGCCACCATAATAATCCCCGGGCAGGGATGGGACTGGGCGGTGGAGCACTTCTTACCCTGCACGTCTGAGATCCTGGGTTTGATCACCTGCATCAAACCCTCACCCACCCCAAAAAAGGAAAGAAAACAGACTTCAGGGGCTCGAGCGATAGCACAGTGAGTAGGGCATTTGCCTGGCCAACCTGGGTTAGATCCCCAGCATCCCATAAGGTCCCTGAACACAGCTGGGGTAATTCCTAAGAGCAGAACCAGAGTAGCCCCTGAGCATTGCCAGGTGTGACCCAAAATGCAAAAAGAAAAAAAAAAAGAAAGAAAACAGACACAGATCTGGCAGTCAGGAAAAAGAGAGATGCCCCCCACCCCTCCAACCTGGCCCAGAGGTGGAGCAGAGAATCTAGCCCCCGCCACCACCTCTGGCACAGGGAGGTGGCCTGTCTGGGAGCCCTGGCACTGGCACTGCGGGCCATCGTGCTGCTATGCAGAGTCCACGGCAGCAAATGACCCAGGGCACAGGCAACGACGGAGGACTCCCATTCCCTATGCACCCAGGAGAGGGGGGTTTCTCTCCTCTCCTGGCTTCAGAGACAGAGTTCCCCGAGCAGCTGCTGGTCCAAGCATGCACTTGACTCATGGGTGCTGCCAGATCTGAACCCAGGCAAGACGGGGAAAGGGTGGAGAGAAAGCTGGGGGAAGCGATTGGGGGGGGGGGAGGCGGCACTCACTGTACTGGATATAGGGGTGGTCCCGGGGGATGCGGTCCAGGCTGATGTCATGCTCCTGCCGCCGGGGCACCTCAGAGTCAGCCATGCGCGGTGAGAGGGTGACGATGAGGCCCTCCACGAACTTAATAGCGTGAGTGCGGATGCCATCGTTGTCCGAGTCCAGCAGCAAAATGATGTCCCCCGCCATGGCCGACACCATGTCCCAGCAGGCCTCCTGGAGCTCGCTGATGACACGCGACTTCACCATCCACTGTGGGGTGGGGTGGGGGGATATGGCAGTCGGGACTCACAGTCAGTGGCTGACCTCGTGATCCAGAGTTCAAGGAGGGGCAAGGGCCCATTCACTGGGGGCCACTCTGATTGATCCCTGCCTTATGCTGGGTCACAGTGGGGACAGATCCCAGGGTGACCAAAACAGACCTTGTCCGGTGTCAGGAGGCCTGTAGCCCAGAAGCCTGAAGCCCCAGAGGAGCAGCTAGCACTCCAGTGCCCACGACCACGGTGGGGCTGTGCACAGCTGTCATTTACTCAGGACTGAAGACCTTCACCCCAGGGCACTGTTTGCTCCCTATTTGGGGAGGGGAGCTTTGGGTTCCACCCGGCAGGTCTCAGGGGATCCTATGGCTGCTGTGCAAGGCAAGCACTGGCCCCCTATGGCCCCTCTCTAGCAACCCCCCCACACACTGCCAGCATGCCCAAGCAGGAGGGGTCTCCCACTGCGCTGCGGGCTCCCGGAAGCAGCCTAGGCTGGGGGTGGGGGCGGCAGGCTGCAGGCCCACCTGCAGGGCCACCCTGTAGAGCTGCGTCATGGTGAGGATGGCCTTCTTCACCACGTTCACGTTCTCGTCCCGCAGAAGCATGTTGAGGTTGGCGATCAATTTCAGCAGCAACTCGATGTCGCGCTTGCTGGGGGGGGGGGGGGGGGTGAGCAGAGGGAGAGTGGGGTCGCATGAACAGAGCCATTAGGCTCTGGGTCAGGAGCCCCAAAGAGGGAGCAAGGGCGGGAGGGGCCAGCACCCCCATCAGCCCAGAGGTCCAGCTGGCACCTGGGCCCATGTCCTGGCTCGGGGGTGAGCAGGAGGGACTCCCCTGGCGGGGGTGGGGGGGGGGGCGGACAGTGAGGTAGAGGCTGTGGGGGTCAGGGCCCTGGCGAGCCCCGGGGAACAGGCTGCAAAGTGGGGTCCTGATGGGGGCTGCGGTGACGACCCTTCAATGGCTCGTGAGGTGAGAAAGGGGCCTGGGGGCCGTGAGGGCTGGAAGCAGGGTAGGGCGAGACACAGCAGGGGAGCAGGCGTTCTGGGATGTGTGTGTGTGAAAGTTCGAGAAGCAGATGGTGAAGAGACTACGCGTCTCATAACCGCTCACATCCCAAAGACCAATTGTACGGTCAGGGTGCGGCACCAAGAACTGGGGTGCAGGTTTTGGGTGAGGTGGCACAGGGCTTTACTTGCGGCGCCACTGGATGTGCCCACAGCACCCAGCCAGAACCTTCCCAGCACTGCTGGGTACTACCCTAAGACCAAGAGGAAGGGGGTGAGAATAAAATTTTAAAGAATCACTCTTTTTTATTATTAAAAAAAAAATGTTCACTGAGCCACACCCAGTGGTGCTACTAGCAGGACTTGGGGACCACACAGGCTCCTGGAGATCGAACCTGGGTCAGTTGCATGCAAAGAAAATGTTTCACCCCTGTGCTATTTCTCTTCTCCCCTTCCCAATTTATTTTGAACTTAAACTTCATTTTAAGTTAAGTTTTTGTTGTTTTGGGCCACACCTGGCAGGGCTGGGGGGACCGTATGGGATGCTGGGGACCGGACCTGGGTCAGCTGCATGCAAGGCAAACACCTTACCAGCTGTGCGTGTGCTCTCTCTCCCTCCCTCTGTCCCTAAAAATTCACTTTAAATTAGACAGCAGAGGGGGCTGGAGTGACAGGACTGACTGCAGGTAGGGCATTCGCCTCGCACGCAGCCGACCTGAGTTTGATCCCTGGTACCATCCACTCTCTCTCTCTCTCCCCCCCACTCCTCTCCCCGCTCCCTTCCTCCCTCTCCCTCTGTCCCTCCCTAAAAATTCATTTTAAATTAGAGAGCACAGGGGTCTGGAGCAACAGGACTGCAGGTAGGGCATTTGCCTCGCACATAGCTGACCCGAGTTTGATCCCTGGCACCACATGTGGTCCCTTGAGCCCACCAGGAGTGATCCCTGAATTCAGAGCCAGGAGAAAGCCCTGAGCAGCACTGGGGGATGTGGACCAAAAGGAAAAAAAAAACCAAGAGCACAGTAGCACAAGGGAGAGGGAGAAGGGAAGAGGGGAAAGAGAAAGAGAGAGAGAGAGAGAGAGAGAGAGAGAGAGAGAGTATGTATGTCCCAGATGTAGGGGTGTGAGTGTGTGTCTGAGGTAGGAGTGTGTATGTGTGTGTGTCTGAGGCGTAAGTGTGTGTGTCTGAGGTAGGGGTGTAAATGTGTGTATGTATTTGAGGTAGGGGTGTGTGTGTGTGTGTGTGTGTGTGTGTGTCTGAGGTAGGGGTGTGTGTGCTGCTGCGAGAAAAACCCAGAGCACACACTGCACCAAGTCACATCACTTGCATGACATGCATGCGCAGAGGCAGGGGCGGGCAGGAAGGAGGCCTGCGGCACCCTCATGGGTGAGACTGTGTCTACACGTCACCACAGCGCCAGGCAGGCAGGCAGTTAAGGGCGCTCGCTCAGTGCCGGGCCATACCAGGCCTCCTCAATGAAGCCGATGACAAACTTCCGCACTTCGATCGACTTGTCAGCCTGGAAAGCGATGATCTCCTGCCAACAGCACAGGAGTGGAGGGTCAGGCAGGTGCTGGGAACGCAGTGCCCCCCCACACACACACCCCGCCCCTACACCACTTCCCCTCCACTCACTTACATCAAGGAAGTTGTCCAACAAGGTGGGGTCTTTGTTGATGATCAGTTCCTGGACCTGGGAGGTGAGGGAGCCCAGGGGTGAGGGTCGGTGTGTGAAGGGGACACATGAGCCGTGCGAGAGTGGGGACAAGGAGAGGAGGACACACCCCGGCTCACTGATCCTCCCAAGCAGAGCTGCTAAAGGGCTCCCCCAAGGTCCCAATCTCGTCCCAGCCCTCGCCTCACAGAGCCACTTCTAGACCCAGTAAGAGCCTCAGGGGCATCAAGTAGTGGAGCCACCACATGGGTGACGGGGCAGAGTGCTGGGTCTCCTGTGGCCCTGGCACTCCAGAGCAAGCATCGTGTACACCTCTCTGCTGAGCCCAGAGCTGGCCCCACCCGACACCCATAGGCTAGGGGTTCCCTGCTGCAGGAGGGTCCTACCCGGGACTGGGCCCCAAGGCTGCACACTGAGCAGATGGGGGACCTGCTCGCCTGACCTTCTCATCTTTCTGGTTCCTGAGCCCAACCTGACCGTGCTGGGGGACCCTGCGGCGCTAGGGATGGAACCCAGACCTCCCGATGCAATGCCTGCGCTCAGCCTCCCCAAGAACTATCCGGGGCCTCCTGAAGTGATGTCTGAGTCATGCCTGGTGGGCCCACGGCAGCCCTCACCTGCTTGAGCACCGTGATCTTGGAATCATTGGTGATCAGCGCTGCCTGGTTCAGAAGATCCACCACCTGGAAAGGGGGCCGAGGGCGGTGAGGAGGCCAGTCTTGCCAACCCCCCAGGCACCCCAGGGAGCCTCACTTCCCACACTCACTCGCTCAGAGGTGGTCATGCCATCGATGCCTGGCCCCTCCTCCTGCGTGAAAAACTGGGATGCCACGCTCCGGCGCGTGACACTGTCCCCGCTGCTGCCCGCCATGGCTGCCAGTCGGCTCTCCCTGGAGAAAAGCGTGGTCCAGCTGAGGGCTCAGCAGAGATCGGGGCCGGCCGGCACGCGCACCCCTGCTTCCCAGCCGGAGGGTCTTTGCTGGGTCTTCTGAAACCCCTCTCCACCCCTGGGTCTCAGGCTGGGTGAAGGGGTGTCACGCTCACACCCGGGCTGGAGCACTTAATGCAGGAGTATGCCCCACAGCTAGCATGTCTCCCCGGTAGGCCACCTGCCAACGCACAGCTCCCAGAAACGCCAGGGCGAGCCACGCGCATGGCACACACCCCAGGCCATCAGAGGGGAATCCTCAGGAAACCCAGTCTGCGCTTGCCATTTTCGGCAATACCAAAATGCATTAGAAACGAGATAAAGGGGCAAGGCCGAAAAGAGAGACAGTGGGCTGGGTGCTTGCCTTACATGCGGCCAACTCGGGTTTGATCCCAACACCCTATATGGTCTTCTGAGCCCCACCAAGAGTGATCCCTGAGCAGTCGGTGCAGTTTAAAAAAAAGATTTAAATAAAAAGACCACCACACCTGTTGAATCAGATATATAATTTAACTTTTCCCCCTAAAGCTTATGTAACAGCCACAGAACGGTTTCAGGCAAGAAGTGGACAGAAATGTTAGGGTCCCCCACACTTCCAGACTATTGAGTGAGCTGTCACGGTCCAGCTAGGAGGCAGAGCTGCCCTTCCTATGTTCACAGGGAAATACTCGAAAGATACTACAAAACCTGGTAACAAGCCTTTGAAGCAGGTAAAAACAGAGGAAGGAGAGAGTCCAGTGGGTAGGGCACGCTGCCTTACACATGGTCCACTTGGATTCAACCTCCAGCACCCCATATGGTCCCGAGTCCCCTCAGGAGTGATCCTGAGCGACAAGCTAGGAGTCAACTGGGTGTGGTCAAAAAACTTGGAAAAAAAAGTACTAAAATATTCACTGTAATTATTAAAAAACAAACAGTGTCCTACCGTTGTTCATCGATTTGCTCGAGCGGGCTAGTAACGTCTCCATTTTGAACTTGTTACTATGTTTGGCATATAGAATACATCATGGGTAGCTTGCCAGGCTTTGCCATGGGGGTGAGATACTCTCAGTAGCTTGCTGAGCTCTCCAAGAGGGGCAGAGGAATCGAACCTGGCTCGGCCTGGCTGGCTGCGTGCAAGGCAAACACCCTACCGCTGTGCTATCGTCCAGCCCATTATAAAACAATCCAATGATTATCCCTGCAGCAGGTCACCCTTCTCGCTCAAGCCTTCCCTGATCACCCCATTTCAAGGGTCAGTTTTCTTTCCCTCTTCTGTGTTGCCCCCCCACCCCACCAGGTGCATATTTGCCACAGAGAATAAACTGCAAAATCTGAGAGGGAAGGATGCTGGTAGGGGTTATGTTGTCACTCCAGCATAAAGCAGGCCAGGGTGACTGCTCTAAATCATTAAGTACCCAGAAGGCTTCCACCATCGCTGAACTCAGCATCCCTGCTGGTTTTCAAGCTTGAAAAACATGAGCTAGAACGGCAGAGCTAAAGGGGACACAGCACATTCTTCAAAGGCTGGAAGCTAGGGGTCAGTCCCACCCCTACCTCCCACCATCCCCAAGGTTCTCTAAGTACCATTTTCATGGAGCCATAGCTCAAAACGCAAAAATAAATAAATAAATAAATAAAAATGAGAGAGAGAGAGCAAGCGAGCACAAGAAATAAACAGTACAGTGGTTAAGGTGCCTGTCTTGCACATGTTGGACCCTGGTTCAAACCAGGAATGATTTCTGAGCAGAGCCAGATGTGTCCCCAAAAGTTAAAAACAAAACGAACAGAAACAGTCATATTGGGACCAGAGAAATAGTACAGCAGGTAGGGCACTTGCTTTGCACGTGGCCAACACAGAGTTTGATTCCTGGCATCACATATGGTTCTGAGCTCACCAGGCATATTTTCTGAGAGCAGGGGCCAGGAGTAAGCCCTGAGCATCACCAGGTATGGCCCCAAAACAAACAAACAAAACACTAGTATTTATTAATATGTAATGCACAAGTCTAACATGCATTAAAAAAAAAAACTTTTAAGGTTTTGAAATGAGAAATTTTTTTTGGTTTTGTCTTTTGGCACAGTTGGTGGTGCTGGGAACTGAATAGGGGTCATCCACATACAAGCACTATCCAGCCAGAAGTCACATCTTAACTCATTTTAACCTCACACCATCGCTCTTTGGGTTTATCTACTAGTTTCGGAAGGGGCCTTCTAAGTTGCCCTAACAGGCCAGTTGGTTCAGTGTGGCACTTGGTGAATCATTGATATTAAAGGCCACTGAGGGGTAGGGCTACCCCTAGATGTGCTGAATATAGGGCCCACAACTGGGAATGCAGTAGCTGCTATTTTTTTGGTGCTCAGAGCTGACTCCTGGCTCTGGGGGTCAGGGATCACTCTTGGCAGGGCTTGGGGGACCATGTGAGGTGCCCAAGATTAAGCCCTGATCGGCCACGTGCAAGGCAAGCACCCAACCCGTATGGACTAGCTACAATCCTTTCAAGGGCCACAGAGCTAAAACCCCCCAGGCTTTAGCAGTACGGGGGTGTGGGAGAGCATTGAGATTTTCCTCCTTCCTTCCCCGACCCCACTTTTTCACATCTGAAAGGCATTTTAGTCCTAAAATCGAGCTCCAGTTTCTTTCCCGCCACGCCAGACTCCCTATGGAGGTACATCTGGGGCTCCTGGGAGCTGCGGCTCTGACTCCAGGTCACTCACTCCCCTTCCCACCGGTGGATTCCTGTCCAGGTCGCATAGCCCCACTGCCACGCGGCAGGCAGACATTCCTGGGTGGAAAAATTTTCTTATTTTGTTCATCCCACAAAGAACAAAGTGCTGGCGTCTTCGCCGGCCAGAGCCGGGCTGAGAACACAGCTGGAGGAGCCCCGCCACGCACGCAGCGCCGGGCACGCACAGCCCTCGGTTCAAGCAGGTCCATCAACAAATGGATGGTCACGTGACGTGAAGGACAGGCCGCGGAGCCAATGAGGGCGAGGCTTCCCGAGACGGAGGGCGGGAAAGCCAGGCCGCGCGGAGGAAGTGACGTTCGCGCCGAGCTCCGAAAGATGAATGGGAGCTAGGCCGGCAGATGGGGCGAAAGGCTGTGGCGGGCCGGCAGGGCGGCGTGAGCTCCATTCGTGCCGCAGGAAGGCGCCAGGAGGGCCAGCGCAACCCCAAAGGCAGTGCAGCCTGCGAGGCCAGGAAGGTGCCGAGAGGCCCGGCCGGCCCCCGCGACGCGGGGCGGACGCGCCATGGGGGCCACCTTGGAACTTCAGCCGGAGGGCCACGGAGAGGGGGGTCCGGGACAGGGAAGAAAGTGGGGTACCGAACGACACTTGGCGGCCATCTCCCGCCCTTTCGGAGCCTCTTCTTAAGACTCTCCTCCCGTCGTTCCCGGGCCCCGCGCTGCACTGTGCACCCCCGCCTCCCGTCCCGCTCACCGCGGCTCTGACCTCGGACCCTCGCGCCCCCTCAGCAGCGCCTCTTCACAGACGCTGCCGCCGCCATCTTCCGCTCGCCGCCGGGACACTGCGCACACGCCACTTGCGCAGGGCCGCCGGGAAATGGAGTCCACACCGCGGCCCGACCCCGCCCCTACCTCTGCCGCGCGGGTGGCCTTCCATCCTCCTGCAGAAGTCGGCGGGACCGTCCTCCTTTTCCGCCCCGCAAGCGCCGCCTGCTGGGCAATGTAGTCCTCTCGGCGCGGCGCCGGGCCGCGAGGCTTCTGGGAAATGGAGTCTCGGCGGCCCGGGCTGAGGCTAGAGGCTTCTGGGAAATGGAGTCCTCGTGGCCCTGGGCCGGGCTGGGACTAGAGGCTTCTGGGAAATGGAGTCCTCCTGGGCCGGGCTGGGACTAGAGGCTTCTGGGAAATGGAGTTCAGGGTATGCCGAGCCCCTGGACGGCTGCGTTCACAGAGAGAACGAAAGGTTGCGGTGTTGGACGTGGTCGCTCCAGTGGAGTCTGAGCAGAGACTCCGTCCCTTCCGCCCTGGGGGCGGGGACGGGGGGCGTCCCACTATCGACACAGCTTGCAGCTGTCGGAAGCTTTATTCTTCAATGCATCCAACGGGGAAGCGCTTTGGAAGGTTCCCTTAGCGGTCCCGATGACCGTGGCCAGCCCGCACCGCTGGAGTCCACTGTGCCCCGAGTCCCTTTGCCTTCCCTGCGCTGGCCTCTGTTCCTTCGCCCTTTTCCTGTTGAGATGATGAAACCCCTGGGGTACGAGCAGGGGAGCCCTCAGTGTCCACAGGGGTCTCGCCCCCGGCGCTCTCCCCCTCCAGCCCTCTGCGTCCCGGCTCTTGGGGCTCCCGGCGTCTGGAGGGGTCTGTCTCCCCGCATTCCTGCAGGGGGCGCCCCAACCCGAGCTCGCCTCCCTCGGGGAGGCGGGAGGGGAGCCCGGGGCGGACCGGGGCGGGCGGGGTGGCTGGGGCGGGGTGGGGGTGTCCCGGCTATAAAGCGTGGCCGCCTCCCGCGGCGCCCCGGACGGCTGCGACCCGGGGCTGCTGGACGGGCGGGCGCCAGGCGGGACTGGGACCGGGAGATCCCGAGCGCTCGATTTCCCCCGGGGCCGGGGCGGGGGCGGCTGGGGGCGCAGCCCGGGGGATGCTGGGCTCGGTGAAGATGGAGTCTCACGAACTGGCCGAATGGAGCTACTACCCGGAGGCGGGCGAGGTGTGTCCTCGGGACGGTGGAGCGGGAAGTGGGGGGCAGGAACGGGGCGGCGGGCTGGCACGCGGGCCAGGACCGGGGCGTGCGTCCCAGCGGGCGCCGCGGATGGGAGCTGAGCGGGGACCCACGGAGGCCAGGTGTCGGGGTGCGGGGGCCCCGGGGGCCCCCGGCACGCGGGCGCGGGCTCCGAGCCGGCCCCGCCGAGGGCAGCTGCTCCCGGGGAGTCGGAAAATTTCGGCAAAGGTCGTGGCCGAATCGCGAGGGCTGGGTGTCGGTTGGAACCCCCGGGAATAAAAAATTGGCAAAGCCATGAAGTGAGAGCGCCGCACGAGGAGCCCGTGTTTGAGGGTTCAAATCTGGGAAAAGAGACGGGAGGGGGAAGGCTGAGAGCGGCGGTGTAGAGTGGTGTTAGGAAGAATGGGTGTTCCCCCAGAGAGAAGGCAGAATTGGGGTTCAGGCGAAGGCTCCCGGGGTGGTGATCTAGGGGAGGTTCAAAAACGGGGACTTTCATGTGCAGGGATGAGAGATGGGTGCGGAGAGCCAGAAATAACAGGTGAGTTTGGAGCTGGGGCGCCCTGAGATGGGGGCGCCGAGGGGACCAGAATTGGGAAGTCGGGGATCAGGACACGGGATGGAGCCTTGCGTTTAGCCCAAGAGGGGTCCCGCCGCACCCCCACCCCCATCCCTACTCGTGACCCTCACCCCTGGCGGCTGAACTTCAGGGGGTTAATTGTTATTAGAGCCCGCAGCAGGGTTCCTCCTGACTGGAGAGGGGCGGGTTGAAGATTTCTCACCCCCCACCCCTCTTCCAGCCAGCCCTCTGCAGCGCCCCCTCCCTTGGAGGCCCTGGAGCGGGGATGGGGGCGAGCCACATTCCCTCCGAGAATCCTGCCCGAGTTCCAACTCTCAGCTACCGCTGAGAAGCCCCGGGAGTGTGTGGGGAGCAGAGGGAGGTGGGGATCCTAATGGGAGAGTTACGGGGGTCCACGCACCGGAGCTCCAGTGGGTTGGGGGGTGGGGTGGGAAGACAATTTTCCAAAGAGGTGGGGCACAGCCTCAGCAATGGAAGCCGGAGGGTGGGACTGCCAGCTGCATCTCCAGGTCTCCAGGTTCTGCAGGGAGCCCCGGAGGGCACCCCTCTGGGCAGTGGAGGTGTGAGGTGCAGGTGGGGTAGGGCAGGCTGAGTAGAAAAAGGCTTTGGGGTAGTGAGAGATGGGGGGGTGGCTAGAGGTGTCTTTTGTGAAGTTGGGGGAGGAAGGAGGCGGACCAGGTTCTGGGGGTTTTGGGGGAACCCTTGGCTAATCAGAGGTAATTTTCCGAGGCACCTTAAGAAGTAGATTGCTCTGAGGGTCAAGGCTGGAGGAGTTGTGATGGGGGGGTTCAGTCTGCAATCCGGGGCTCATTTGTTGTGGAAATTGCATTAGAAGTTAATGGACATTTTATTGAGGGGCTGGATCTGAGGGTGCATTCCCAGAGCTGTGCTTGGGAAGTTACTTGGAGAACCATGTGTTTGGAGAGGCCGAGCCTGGAGTGGGGGGTGGGGGGGTCTCTGAGCTCCAGACCTTTGCTCTGTCTCGGGTCCAAGGGAGAGTTTACAGATAATTAGCATCGGGGCTTATTTTTGATTTGACCAGTGTTAGCTAGAAATGAAAATGGAAAATAGAAAGGGGGCTCTCCCAACCTCCTCCCCTTGGATCAGAGCCGCAAGGATTTAGAGGGACCCCACTGCTTGGTACCTGCAGTGCCCTAAGACAGGGTGGTGTGTACACACACACTCACACACAAATTCACACATACACACACACCACACAACATACACACACCCCACCGGGGCTGGGAGGAAATTGGAGGACTCTCACCATGCAGCATTCCCGCGTTCCTGCAGTTCAGATGGTCCAGCTGCTTCCCCAATTCTGAGATGGGGGAACCAGGAGCAGTGGGGGTTGGGGGCTGCCTGGGGTAGGGTGGGGTGGGGGTGCTGCTGGGAACAGAAAGGAGTCCTCTCCCTCCCTCCTACACTCACACACACTCCAGTGACAATAAGGAAATGAAAAGGGAGAAATTCCTGGCTGTTGAGGTGGGGGTGCAGGTCCCCTGAGGGCTTCCCCCCCTCAATCCCAGCCCCGCCCTGGCAGGGGAGATCCGGCTCAGACCCGGACACTGGGGGTTCATCCCAGCTTGGGGCGTGGGAAAGCCTCGGGTGGATTAGGGCAGCTGCAGAGCTGGAGGGCAGCAGGAGGACTTCCGGGTGGGTGGGGACCAGGGGAAGGAGGGGGCTCCCCACCCCCATCCCCTGCCTGGAATCCGAGCCTGGCTTCCCCCCTGCTACCCCAGAGTGACTCAGCTGAACAAACCTGGAGCCCCAGGAATCTCCCCCTTCTACGTCTGCAAGACCCCCTTCGCTGACCCTCCAGCCAGTGCCTAGGGAGGAGCTGGGGTCCCGAGACCTCTGGGGTGAAGGGGATGGTCAGCCAAGCAGAGGAGGGATTGGAGCAGAATCAGAGATGGGGGTCCCACTGGAGAGAAAGATTCAGGGAGAGGTGAGGGAGAGAGTGGGGAGGAGGGACGGAGGAGGGACAGAGGCAGGAGGGACAGAGGTGGCAACGTGGAGCCAGGAGGGAAACGGTGGAGAGGTTTTGTGGGAACACACATCCGGGTGGGCTGTCCCTGGTCCCTGCCACTCTCAGCTTCCAGGCGTTCCCTGGCTCTCTGCATCTTGGTTTGTTTCTTATTTGGGTTTGGGGCCACACCCGGCAGTGCTCAGGGCTGCTTCTGCTCTCAGGGATCACTCCTGGTGGTGCTCAGGGGATCTGATGGGGTGCCAGGGATCGAACCCAGATCGAAGATGCTCGAGGCAGGTGCCCTCCCTGCTGGACTATGGCTCCTACCTCACAGCATGGTCTTTTAAATTTTTGGTTTGGGGTTTTGTTGTTTGTTTGTTTGTTTGGGGGGGCCACATCCAGTACTTGGGGGCTTGCTTCTGGTGGTGCTCAGAGAACGAGTGCGCTGCCAGGGATTGAGCAGGGGTGGGCTGCACTCAAGGCAGCCTGCCCTGTTTCCTGCTCAGCTCTGCATGGGGAAACGCGCAGATGCCCTGACACAAGGCACAGGCATACAGGCACCCCCTGGACCCTGAGTGGTGGTTCTGACCGGATCACCCACTCCATGTTAGAGAAAGAGGCCAGAGGGTTGCGGATGGAAGTGAAATCACAGACAGAGAAATTGCCACCCAAGGGGCCTTTGTTTGCCTCTCATTTCCCTTCCTGCCAGATTGTCAGCCCTTCACTCAGGGATCACTGATCCTGGCAGTGCTCTGGGGACCACACAGGGATTGAACCCGGGTCGGCCACATGCAAGGCAAGTGTCCTTCCTGCTGTGCTATCACTCAGGTCCTACCCATAAATATCTCTTAAACATTTAACACAAGATATTGAGGTCCCAAGGCCCGACCTAGGCAAGCGCTTTACACTGAGTTACCGTCTTCACTTCATTTTTACTCTCTAAAAATGATCTCTTTTTTGGGGGGAGGGGATACCAGTAGTGTTAGCGGGGAGCATGTGGTGCTGGTAATTGAACCCTAGGCTCTCTGTGCAAAGCTTGAGCGCTCTCTCCCCAACCCTTGCTCTTAAAAATTGAGGGGCTGGAGAGATAGCACAGCGGGTAGGGCGTTTGCCTTGCACGCGGCCGACCCAGGTTCGATTCCCAGCATCACATATGGTCCCCTGAGCACCACCAGGGGTGATTCCTGAGTGCAGAGCCAGGAGTAACCCCTGTGTATCGCCAGGTGTGACCCAAAAAAGCAAAAAAAAAAAAATTGAGAACTGTGGGGATTGGAGAGATAGTACAGTGGGTAGGGCACTTGACCCTGGTTTGATCCGCAGCACCCTGAGGCCTGCCAGGAGTGATCCC